TGAAGGGTGGGAGCAGACTATCTCTCACAAACAAACACACAGAATAGTGGCTGCACATTTCATTCTCTCAAATTCTGTAAGGGCTAGAAATATGCTTTTTTAAAAATGAAAGCTGAGAATCTGAAAATTGAGGCCCATCCAATTCATAATACTTACGCCTCTTCATACAGACATCCATGGCCATAGATTGTGATCTTGCGCACTTGTGAAAGAATTTACAGAACTGAAATCCATGCATGCTTTTTTCAACAAGAGATGTGATCAAGGGTGGATTTAAAAAAAGAAAATAAAATAAAGTGGTGATTGTCTCTGACTTACGGCGACTGAAAAAAGGCGGGGGGAATTTTGGGCAAACAGGTTCATTTTATATAGAACTGGAATTTGTGCAATTGGAGCAGCAAATTGTTAGTTGCAAAGCATGTAGAATTCAGTGGAGGAATCTCACTGGAAAATCCTCAGAGCAATTCATATACATTGTCTCAGTAACCCTCATGACAATGCTGTAAAATGAGTCAGCACGGCCTCCTAAACTGTCTAAATCTCATGATTAAAGAAGAAGAGGGACCAGAGATGAGGAGAAAGGTGGCTCACCTGCAGTATGACCAAGGATCTGCACCCTTAGATCACACAAATAGCATTTATCATTATTACATAACCATGCTGTGGGGAACAGTTGTACCTCTTGGATTTTAACTTTATACACCATCCCTTATGCATAGCATCTCAGGATGGCTTACAGTCATTAAAATCAAATACCCTAAAACAATCTTTAACAATAATAAATAACATATAGCGAATAAAAATAAAGTAAAAAGCAACTGTACATTAAAGTACTAAATTTCAGACTGCCGTGTGTCTAATAATGCAGGTGGCATTTCTGCCCATGTTAGCGAGTGTGTGGGACCTTTTCTATCTGCAGTGCTTCCAGTTTCTCCCCAGGCTTCATTGAATGATGATGTCTTCTTCCATATACCAAATTGTTCTGTGAAGTAGGAAACTGATCGCAAATCAGCATGTCACCTTTCATGAAGTTTTACAGAACTGGAGCTTTTGGCAGGGCTTCAATTGAGAGCCAGTGACACTGTTTCATTCTTACAAGCAGCTTTTTTTTGCAAGTTTTTGTCTGCTGTATTTATCCGGGGTGACTAGACTTGCTCAACAGAAGAGTCACATACAGTAAATGTCAGATGTTTGAGAGCTGCAAAGGGGTGTTGGTGGTGGCAGCAGCAAGTGGGCGCGCACGAGCACCTGGGTGGTAAGTCACAAAATAAATTCAAAGTGAGCCTCATTTTGGCCATCCCTGGTATATACTTTGCATGCCTATGTTTAAAACCTTTAAAGCTCATGTCTTTAAGATATTCCCATATAGGGTCTTTCGTGATAGTTTGAGGTACCAATACAATCCATTGCATATCTCCTAAGTGCACTGAGTTCATTGGGAATTGCTCCCGGAAAGTTAGTATAGGATTGTAGCCTTTATATGGAAGTCTGCATAGCAACTTCCATGCATACTAGACAATTTTGCTTGCTTTTTTCCTTACCAGTTCTGCTTTACTCTATCCTGGTTGAGGTTTGCCTCACACACAAAAACAGGAGCAAAGAAAATGTTCACAACTAATAGTTCAAAGAAAGGTTTGTTAATTACTGGGAGGAAAAACTCCAATTTTTAAAATACAGTTTTTGGGATTTTTCAGTTATCGTTGTTGTTAGATATCCATTTATATCCACTCTGTTACATTGTGCTTGACTTGTCCATGGCTTAACAGGTCATCTGGGTTTGGACCACATGCTGTGCTATAAACCATGGGGAACCGGGGTGGCTTACAAGCCACCCTGGGGGAAGAGTGCCGAGTGTGGACAACATGCTAACCCACCATGATTTAAAAGCCACAGTGGACTATCATTTTGTGCAAATGAACGGTGGCATCGGACAGCACATGAAGGGAGCAGAGGAGCATAAGGGTAAAGGCCAGATGTGCACCGTCCTCCAACAGAGGCAAACAGCTGGCTGGGAGATGCTGGGAGCTGTGTGCATTTCTTTTCTCTTGAAAAATGCAAAGAATTCTGCCTTGGAACTTTGAATAAAGTCAACAGTTATGCATAAAACCATTGCTGTGCTCACAGTGCTATCCTGTATGTGTCTACTCAGAAATCAGGCTCATTTCTCCAAGCTAAGCATTGCAGCCTTAAAGCAGCAAGTACGCAGGTTTGAAAAATAAGCAGAATGAGCAATGCCTTGCAACAGTGACCCACGCTATGGTAACTTCCCGACTGGATTATTGTAACGCGCTCTACATGGGGCTGTCCTTGAAGACGGTCCGGGTACTTCAGTTGGTTCAGAACAGAGCTACCTGGATATTAAACAGGACCAGCAGGGGTTCACATATAATGCCAGTCCTCTATCATCTACACTGGCCACCAACTGAAGTCCAGGCCCAATTTAAGGTGCTGGTGATGACTTATAAAGCCCTAAATGGCTTGGGTCTTGGATACCTGAAGAAGCGTCTCCTCTCCTATGCGTTCTCCCACCCCTTAAGATCGGAGTCAAAGGCCCTTCTCTGGGAACTGTCCTTGAAAGAGATCAAGAGGGTGACTACTCGGAGAAGGACCTTCTCTGCAGTGGCACCCCGATCGTGGAACACACTCCCCAGAGAGGTCCACCTGGCATCAACGCTTCTTTCCTTTCAGCGTCAGGTGAAAATCTTTCTATTCGCCCAGTATTTTAATTGTTAACTTGTTTTATTTAGTGGGTTTATAATTTAACACTGGATGCTGGGCAACTGTCATTCTTATTTTTATTTTAGTATTCATTGGCTGTGAACCATCCCGAGATGTCTAAGTATGGGACGGTATAGAAAAGTTTTAAATAAATAAATAAGTCACGTGGTGGTGGCGCAGATCATCCACATTAGCCATGTAGAAGTACAGAGGGAGATGAAGGGAGAAGAGCCATTTCAAACAACCCTGAAAAGTGCCAGTGTGGTGTAGTGGTTAAGAACATGGGACTGGGACTCAGACGATCTGGGTTCTAGTCCCCGCTCAGCCATGGAGCCAACTGGGTGACTTTGGGCTAGTCACAGACTCTCAGCCCAGTCTGCCTCACAGGGTTGTTGTTGTGGGATAAGATGGAGGAGGAGAGATGATGTAAGCTGCCTTGAGCCCTTTGTAGGAAAAAGGCAGGATATAAATAAATAAATAAATAAACCCTGTTAAATGACTATTTTTTCCCTCTTCCCCTCCCAGCCCTTTTCCCTTAAGTGTTGAGTCTCTTTAGAATGTAAACCTGCAGGTAGAGAAAGCCTTATTTTCCCTGATTTCATGCAAGCAAGCCCAGAAGCATGTTTAGGTGATGAGCAAGATAATAATGTGTGTGTTTTTATACTGGACTGGAGCTACAGTATTGGCAGTGGGCAGGTGCAATGCAGCCCAGATGACTTCATACTGATGAATTTCTCTCTCCTGGATAAGCAGTTTTGAAAGGGTATGTGGGATTGCACAGGTGGGGTTTAAAAAACCCCTCGCTTTGCCACTCCAATTCAGGAATTAGCACGATTGGTTTTACCCATAAAATATCAGGAATGTTTATCATGTAACTGCTGACGCATCACATCTACTTTGCACCTTAATGGTAGTTTTATACTTGACTTCTGCACTCATAATTATTAGTGCAGTTAAACATACACCACTCTTTTTATTTTTAACCATGCTTATTTTACAAACGAAAGCCTGAATAATATTGTTATAGGATGACTAGACAATGACCTTGAGTATAAGCCCTTGGATAAAAGTGCATTTGTTTACTCTCTTATAAAGAAGGCACGATCAAAATCACATTGCACAGATTGATCAAGATAGTTAAAGAGTGGCAGAAGGGTAAATATTTCCTACCTTTTCAGCACTGGCTGCAGTGACAGTTCTGGTCAATATAAGTGGAGAACTAGAGAGGTAAGTTTTATTTATTTATTTATTTATTTAAAACATGTCTATGCTGCCCCCATCACAACAAAGCCTCGGGGAGGCTCACAACATTGAGGGTGGAGCAACCATAGCCTCAAATTTGGGGTTTATTAAACTCAAATCATTTCTTTCCTATTCCCAGACTCAATACTAAGTAGAATTCCCACTTCATCCATAATGATACATTCAAAGGATGTGAAGAAAAACCCACCTTTTCCCACTACTCCTTTAACAGCTAGGATTGTGATTATGGTTGAGAACAGACTAGCATTCAGCAACTAGAAGCAGGCATGTCTGCAGGTCATGGCACTCCCACAAGCCAGCCTGTGTCTACCAACAATTCTCCCTCTGCACTGTTACTAAAAGTGAGAAAAGCCTTGCACCCATCACTGGAAATTAACCACATCCTGCGACTTGTTTAATAAGACCAAGTAAGTGCTTGGGGAAAGAAGTAGCTGGCTAGATAATTTTAGCATGTTGCCTTATTTCAAATCAGTTTGTTGTTCCAACCAGTGCAGGACTACCTGCACAGGCTGGCAGCTGCTCTCCAGGACCCATGGCAGGAATCTTTCCCTGCCCTACCTGGAGATAGTGAAGGAATGAATCTGGGATTCTGTGAGTGCAAGATCACAGCCCCAAATCCCATTAGTCCCAGCCAGCATGGCCGATGACAGTCAGGGATGCTGTGAGTTGTGATCCAAAGCCAAGGCAAGTAGAAGGCACCAGATTGGAGGAGTAGGGAATAACCCCTTGGCATAGGATTGTTTCCATCAGCTGTGCGCCTGGCTGAATTTCCGCAGATGCTCCTCCCCTGCTGCAGGGATAGGGAAAGCCGTCGGAAGTAATGGACGGCATACAAATTTTATAAATAAATAAATTAATAAGCCGCCCCTGGTGAATTTCCAGCTGCCAGGATTTCTACCTGGTGTGTGCACGTGGCGCGGGGGCGGGAAGAGAAAGTGGCCACCTCCGCAGCAGACCACCCGAGCCTCCCGCAAGGGCCCCCTCGCTGCCCTGGAGCTCCAAGAGCGCCCTCAACTCACCCTCTTTCTGAGACACCATCCCGATGGTCCCGCCAGTGTTGATCACTAGCACCCGCTCTTCGGCCCCGCTCTCTCCGGACTGAGCGAGCGCGGTGGACGAGAGGGCCCTGCTAAGCCTCCGGCAGCCTTTGTCCTTTGGCTCTGCCATGACTCCGTCTCAGCCCCAGTTACCTGTTCTTGATGATGGTCAGCTAGAAACATCGATTTCCTAGGCGGATAACGTGCGCATCCACATACCGGCTCTTAGCCCCGCCCCTTTCCGGACCCGTCTGCTCTCATTGGCCGCGACCGCGACCTGCCCAAAGCGCGGAAGGGGGCGAAGAGGCGGGGACGACCCGCCCCCTTCCTGCCATTGGCCAGGGTTGCCTCAGTGCCCGCCGAAGCGTTTTGCTTCACGCCCCCCGCGCAGCCTTAGCTCTTCTCAGACTGAAGAGCAAAAAGGCGCAAGCGGAGCCGGCGCCGGGCAGTGCAAGGCTCAGGCCCGCGGGACGAGTAACCACCCCGCATGCACCAGTTTGCAGAGGCTCATTGACAAGCGCTCGGCGCAGAGTCGCCCTCTTTATATTTAAAGGACCCTTCTGCAAAGGGGATCCCTGTTTGGAAAAGGGCTAAGCCGGCAGCGCTGGTTCGAAAATGCTCTTTCACTTTTGCGTTTTACTTCAGCCTGTTCAAACAAACTGGAGAAAGGAAAAGGCCCCTTCTGAATAACAGGCTGAGGTTAAAAAAAAAAAAAAAAAGCTTGCCCAATTTTATTTGTATTTTCTGTACGTATTTTCAAAATGACGTAAAGAGGGATTTTAAAAAATCAAAGCCACTTTGAGTTTTTTGTAAGAGAAAAGGTGGGATATAAATCTAATAAATAAGAAACGTGCTTTTAGTCTTCTGTTCCTTACTGTCCAGGCAGAAACATGAAGGCAGTAATTTGCCCATCCTGGCTGTGGATCACAACAACCAGGGCAGCAACTGCCTAGTCAGTGGTCTAAAGCTACTTTGAAGGAGCCAATTATGTATGTGTATCCCTTTCCATATGTCCCCAAGACAATGTTCAACCGTATAGGTACAACAATCACTAAAAATTATGTTTAAACCATGGTTACATGTGATTGGCTTATGGCAACCCTATAAATGAAAGCCCTCCAGTTCTGCTGTCCTTGGGAGTCTGGCTCAGCTCTTATACGAGCAAGACTGTGGCTTTCTATGTGGGATCGATCCACCTTCCACCTCTTCTTCTGCTTTCAACTTTCCCAGCATGAGGTGTGTCTTGCATTCTTGGAATAATGTGAAATTGTATGTTTAAAATGTTCAGTGATGGAGGAGCCATCTATTTACAGACACCTGGCTGTGAATTTATTTCAATAAGATATCTCTTTGCAAATAGGAAGAGGAAAGTTGCGAGAAAATATCCATTTTTAAATGGCCTGAATAGAAATTAGTGATGCATTTGGCACTCTGGATTTATTAGTATTATTACACAGAAAGGCATGGTGTTCCAGGAAAACTTTTTATAACTGTGTTGCAATGCTGTTTTCAGGTCATGGAGTGATGATGGGGGCATTCTGTTTAGTTAATATGCACAGGTTTTCTTGTTGAACTTTTCTTGTTATTCCTGTTTTGATTTTTGTTTTAATAAATCTGATTTCTTCCTCTCTGCTTGTCTGCATATTAAGCAATTAGCAAAAGTTTGGCTAGGAAAATATCTTCCATTGTGCATGCCAGGCATATTTGCAATCATAATCTTTGCTGGCATGGCTTGCAGTAACATGCGAACCTGGCAAGATAGCTTCTTGCCACAGTTAACAAACCACCCAGAAAAGCAGGTTGCTTACCTGTAACTGATGTTCGAGTGGCCATCTGTGCAGTCACACATATGGGTACTGCGCCTGCGCAGTGCCTGTGGCCGGAAGATTGTCAGCTAACGGTTTTTGGCGGGAAGCTCCGCTCCCCCTCCCCCCTGTGGCCTATAAAGAGCAGAGCGTCCGCCATTTTGTTCAGTCTTTGCGACCGAACGTATGCCACTTTATGGAAAAAAACACTGCTTTTTTTAAAAGTCGGTGCCGAGAAAAAAAGGCATGGTCGGTACCGAAAGTTCCATCCACTCACCGACACCGAGCGGGGCCGGCGGGTGGGTTGTGTGACTGCACAGATGGCCACTCGAAGAACATCAGTTACAGGTAAGCAACCTGCTTTTCTTCGTCGTGGCCTCTGTGCATCACACATATGGGTAGATTAACAAGCTTACCATAAAGGAGGAGGGAAGGTGTCCTCATTGAAGAACGGAGGAGAGAACAGCTCTACCGAAGGAGCAGTCCCGTTGAGCCCGAACATCGAGACGGTAATGCTTGGCGAAAGTGCAGGGATTCGCCCAAGTAGCGGCTCTGCAGACGTCATCAGTCGGAACCCCGGATGCGAATGCAGAAGATGTAGCAACAGTTCTAGTAGAATGGCCTCGAGGAACTGAAGGCAATTCGAGCTTAGCTAACTGATAACACAAGACAATAGTGTGGACTATCCATTTAGAAAGCCTCTGTGGAGTGACTGGGTCGCCCTGATCTCTAGCCGAATTTTGATGAATAGTTTATTGGATCGTCGAATACACTCCGTTCACGATCGGTAGAAGGCTAAGCAACGCCGAACATCTAGTGAATGCAAAGATCTTTCCAATGGAGTCGACGGTGACAGAAAAAAGGCAGGCAGCACAATGTCTTGTCCCGTATGGAAAGGTGTAGACACTTTAGGCAAGAAAGATGGGTCGAGGCATAAAACGACCTTCTCCCTGTGAAAGTTTAAATAAGGAGGGTCTATGCGAAGAGCGCAAAGTTCACTGGCCCTCCGGGCTGAAGTGACAGCTACAAGAAACACCGTCTTCCAGGAGACCAATCGCAGATCCACCATCGCCAAAGGTTCGAAGGGGGCCTTCATAAGGGCCTGTAGAACTACAGAAAGGCTCCATGTGGTTATCACCAGTCTAATTGATGGGTTAAGATTATATAGTCCCTTCAAAAATCTTTTGAGGATAGGATGAGAAAACAGAGGTGATCCGTCGACTAAGCCACGGTAGTAGGCTATTGTGGCTGTATACACTTTAATGGACGACAGCTTCAATCCGGAATGGTGCAATTCCAGGAGGAACTGAAGAATTTATTGAATGGATGAGAGGAATGGAGAGAACAAACGAGACTCGGCAAAGGTGGAAAAATGTTTCCATTTAGCCTTATATGACTTCCTTGTAGACGGCTTTAAGGCATAGTCGATGATATGCTGAATATCAGGGTGCAAAAACGTCGGATTCGGATTCGACAGGTCTTGTCTTGAACTGGATGGTACAAAGAGACCAGAGAAAAGGGAAGCACCCAAGTGATTGGATTCGACAATTGGATCCGAGGTGGTCGAAGTCATCATCGGTACTGATGGATTAGTAGAAGCTGTCAGATTCGTAACTCTCGAAACCGTCGTCGGCACCGATGGAACATCAATCATCAAATTCGCCACGCTGTTAGGTTCAATGAGAGCAAGTCCGGGTGGTGAAGTGTGCCGTCCACCTGTGTTATAAGATATGGGAGCGATGGAAGATGAAGAAATTCCCCGCGAGAGATGTCGAGTAGTTTCGCAAACCATGCTTGACATGGCCACCAAGGGGCAACTAGTATCCCCGATGCCCGGTCGTGCACTATCTTTGCTATGACCCGTGTCAGAAGAGGGATTGGAGGGAAGGCGTAAAATTTCATATTGTTCCAAGGGATCATGAATGCGTCCCCTAGGGATGCGTGTCCAATTCCCGCTCTCGAACAGTAAGCCTCGCACACCCTGTTCTGTTGGGTAGTGAATAAGTCCACGTTGGGAAACCCCCAGTGCCGGAAAAGGTGGTTGCGCGTACGAGGATCCAATTCCCACTCGTGAGAGGTGAACATGTGCCTGCTGAGAAGATCCGCCTGCACGTTGTCTACACCAGCTAGATGAACAGCCATCAGCGTGATGTGTCTCCGGATGCACCAGTCCCAAATTTTCATAGAAAGCCTGGCTAGAGTCGGTGACTTGCTTGTTCAGATAAAAGACAGTAGCTATATTGTCCGAAGTTATCTGAACGATCTGATGATGAAGGATGTCCTCAAAAGAGTGCAGGGCCTTGAAAACTGCCAGTAGTTCTAGGAAATTGATATGATTCGTGGATTCTCGACGATTCCATGTACCCTGGGTAGATAGGCCGGAGCATATCGCTCCCCATCCTAGAAGAGACGCGTTGGTGCCAAGGGTTATCGTAGGAGGTCGCGCCCTGAAGGGGACTCCTATCATAAGATTGGTCGGTTCCAACCACCAAAGCAGAGAGTGAAGCAAGGAAGATGGGATCCGAATCAGTCTCGACTGCGGATTTCTTTGAGGATGGTACACCTTGTTGAAAAAGAGTTGCAGTGGACGAAGCCGAAGCCTGGCATGTGGAACTACAGCACCTGAGGAAGCCATATGCCCCAGGATCCTCTGGATAGACTTCGCTGGGACCGTTCCATCTTGTCGGATTCGATGGATGTGGCGAGCAAGAGTCTGTTGTCTGTCCTGAGGGAGGAAGGCTTTTTCCAGCATCGAATCCAAGCGGGCTCCAATGAAGGTGAGTGTCTGTGTCAGAAGAAGAGAAGATTTCTCGGTATTAATACGTAGGCCTAGGCTATTGAGCAAGGCACAAGTTGTATGGATGGCCGCAAGGAGTCCTTCTCTGGACTGCGACACTAACAGCCAGTCGTCGAGGTACGGATAAATTTGTATGCCCTGGAGGCGTAGGAAGGCACAGACAGGAGCCATGCACTTGGTAAAAACCCTCGGAGCCGTAGCCAGTCCAAAAGGCAAAACTGTAAACTCATAAAGTTGGGTTGCAACTGCAAAACGAAGGGAACGCCTGTAACTTGGGTGAATTGAAATATGGAAGTAGGCGTCCTTCAAGTCCAATGAGGCGAACCAATCCTCTCTCCTTAGCACGGCAAAATGTTTTGGAGGGTAGTCATACGAAACTTTTTCAGTACAATAAACTTATTTAAGTTCCGTAAGTCCAAAATCGGACGTAGAACACCATCCTGCTTAGGGACCATAAAGTATCTGGAATGGAGTCCGTCAGATGGAAATACTTGACGAATCACTCCTTTACGAAGAAGTTGATGTATTTCGTTGAGCAGTACCGGTGAACATGAAGTGGACCGGATCAGACTCGGCGGAGGAACGATGTCAAATTCTATTCGATAGCTGTGTTGAAAGATGGACAATACCCACCAATCAGATGTGGTGGACTCCCAAATGGGGAGTCGGCTTTGAAGCCGATCCCCAGATGAGAGGGGGGTGGGTATTGGTGGAGTGTGAGGAATGGTTTGCCAGTCCCGTCAACGTTGCCGCCTATCGTCGAAACGACAGCGGCCTTGTTGGAAGCGTTGCTGGGACTGCGGATGGCGGCGCTGCTGTTGCTGTTGCTGGCAGTGTTGTGGCTGCTGCCTCGGTTGATATGATTGCCTGTAGGATGGACGATTCCAGGACTCCATCCTGTGTGCCTTCATCCTCGATTCATGCAGCTTCTTGCGCTTCTGGTCAGTGCAAGAATGGAAAAGCCCAGATCCATCGAAAGGCATTTCCTCTATCCGGCGCTTGGTTTCTTCCGGAAAATTGCAATTCTGAAGCATGCATGCCTTCGGAGAGAAACAGCACCGACCAAGGCCCGTGAGTCAGTATCCACATGGTGCCTCGCCGTGGATAACTGCTGCACCGCGACCTGCATGGCTTCCTTAATCAGGACCTTCGCGAGGTCACCCTGGTGGTCTGGGAGGGTGGAGGGACATTGTGCAGGCTCTGCATAATGAAGTATTGATACCTTGCCAACATCGCCTCGTAATTTGATATGCGGAGCCCCAGGCCTGAAGCAGTGTAGACTCGCCTAGCCAGGGAATCTATTTTTCGGCCCTCCTTGTCCCTCGGTGCCGTGTGCCCTCTCGCCTCTCTGCCCTGCGAGGATTCGACGACCACAGAGTTCGGTTTGGGATGTCGGAGGAGGAAGGGGATGTCCTCCTCCCAAACCCTGTACATCGACTCATATCTCCTGGACGTCGGTTGAGGATGTGATGGCAGGTCCCAGGGCTGCATCATCGCCTGCCGCAAGGTGGTTATGAGCGGCAGGACAATAGATGTCGACTGCTCCCCGTGGACGACATCGTAGAACTTGTCCGTCGTTGGTCCCGGGCACTGGGCAGCGTCGATGTCAAGGGACTGGACAAGTCTAGACATCAGCTCCGCGAAGGAGACGTGGGACTCATCAGCCGACGCAGGACCCTGGGATGTCACAGCGACGTCCGGGGAGGTTGAGTGGGCCTCCGAGTCGGCCGAATCGGCACCGTAGTAGGGTGGGGCTGAAGATGACGACTCCGCCAGGGAGAAGGAGCGGCTGCTTCCACCCTGTGGGGATCGAGGTGACACCCACCTCGGATCTGATGAGCGCGGTTGATCACGGGATGGAGGAGAGGATCATGCCCTGGGAGCAGGGTAGTACCCTACAGAGAGCGGATCACCCCAAGTATGGTAGTAGGGCGACGCCAGCTCTCCGGACGTTGTTCTACAGAGCGGCTCCTCCGGCTCCCCTGTGGGAACAGTCCAACGTCCGCTTCCATAGTGACCGCAGGCATGGGTGTCGGTGACCTCACCCTGGGGGGGAGTCTTGGATTTCCCCGTCGGATATTGAACCCCGTAGAGTTGGAAGGGGTGCAGGTGGGAGCTCAACCGCATGGCAGGGAGACCCTTGAGGGGTAACCCACATAGCCTCCTGGAGGACCGGTTCGGGCGGAGTCGGTACCGTAGGCGCCACCGGTACCGAGGGGCCCATCGGTTCCGAGTCCCAATGTCTGGGACGGTCCGGACGGTCCAAATTCCTGGGTTTTTTGGGAGGCTTGGAGACTTTCTCCTTCCTGACCTTTTTATGGCCTGCCAGCTTCTCGGATTTGGCATGCTTCTGCTTCTCGTGCTTTTTAGGTGAAGCAGAGGGAGCCACCAAAGCAGAAGGCCGTGAGGGTGGGGCTACAGAAGCGGAGCCAGGTTTTGGGACAGCAATAAGCGGGTCCGATTGCATTAGGGCCCGATCCCAAAGGAGTCTCCGGAAGCGGTTTTCACGGTTCTTCCTGGCCTGCTTGGAAAAGGCCAGGCAATGCGTGCATTTATCTGTCCTATGCCCCTCTCCCAGGCAGAGGAGGCATAGGTCATGCGGGTCAGTTGGTGCCATTTTTGACTCGCAGTCCACGCATTTGCGGAAAGCCGCTCGCTGCGCCATCGCAGAAGAAGAAGAAAGAGACAGTGCAGAGGGGAAGTATATATTTTTGTTTTGTTTTGTTTCTTTTAGATAGATTGAAAGAAGAAATAACAAGAGAAAAAACTATGAACATGGGACAATGAACTGGGAGCAAGGAGAAGAAAAACTGGGAAAAGGACAATCGAGAGCAAGAAGGACAATCGAGAGCAAGGTAACAATCGAAGCGAAAGTCAAAAGCGGCACAAGGCACAGTGAACGGCGGTCGCAAAGACTGAACAAAATGGCGGACGCTCCGCTCTTTATAGGCCACAGGGGGGAGGGGGAGTGGAGCTTCCTGCCAAAAACCGTTAGTTGACAATCTTCCGGCCACAGGCATTGCGCAGGCGCAGTACCCATATGTGTGATGCACAGATGGCCACGACGAAGAACTCTCACATCATTTAGAGTTCTTAACTAGGACAAGAAGCTAACTCACCATATTCACACTATACAGGAAGCCATGCCAGCAAGTCAACCCAGCACATGTGGCAGGGGATATAAGCTATTTATTTAGTCATTCATTAGATTTATATCCTACCCTTTTTCTTTCACAGACCTCAGAACGAATTCCTCTTCCGCTCTCAATCTTATCCCCACAGCAACATCCTTGTTAGGCTGGGGTGAGAGTCTTTGACTGGCCCAAAATCCAAAATAACCCAGTTGGCTCCGTGGCTGAGCAGGGACTAGAACCCAGGTCGTTTAAGTTCCAGTCCCCCACTCATAACCACTACACCATGCAGCCTCCCTAGCTAGGCTGTGTGTACCAGGTTGCTTGAGTGTACCAAACTACATACCTTGGATAGTCTCTCTTTTTCATTTTATAACCCTGCTCTGTGAATATAAACAACTTGAATTCTGCCAGTTTCCTGTCTTCAGTGTAATTTATACAGTTTTTATAAGGTTATCTAAGATCTGCCCCTAAGATCTGCAGGAGAGGCCCTGCTCTGGGAACCCTCCCTGAGGGAGGTAAAAAGGCCATCTACCTTTCCTATATGGGGTTAAATTTGGCTGCCTCCTTTGGGCTGCTCAAAGGTTGCTGACAATAAGCTTCTGTGGAATCCATTAAAGAGAATATATAGCACTTGGCATACCAGACAAATTATGAGCAAAGTTCTATCATTTGCTTTCAGTGTAGAAGTCCAAAGTAATTTCACAAGAAAATGTGGGAGGTAAAAACATGAACATGTTTTTAAAGAAGATGTTTTACATTCCAGCTCTAAATATTTCAGGCTTACACAAGTGCCCGGTTGCATTCCCCATACACAAGAACTAAGAAATCTAAGTACAGTCCCTACCATTTTCATCAAGTTTAGACATTCAATGAATACCGTCATGACCAATTCAAACATCTTTCCAATAGAAATTAGTGCAAAATGTTCATCTTGAGACACCTGTACAGAAAGAAACACAGAAAGAAAGGTTTGAAGTTCTACAGTGAGTTCTCTTCCAATTCAAATAAGCGAAATAGTGACACATTTGCAACAAGACCACCACCGTTCATTCTTCATGATTTATTTACAGTACTGCATACTAGCCAATAATGAAGGTTCTTCTGAATTGACATCTATAGCAATGTCCAACATGTAAAGTTTTCTAAAGATACAACAATACTTCTGGAATGAGAAATATTCATTTTTTCACCCATTCTGTACTTATTCTGCTGTTCCCACACATCCTTTTAGAACAAAGAGGAATACTATGTGAGTGACACAGAATGGGCAGGCCTTCTTTGAGCTGGAGCTAATGCTATACCGGTTTCTTTATAAGCACTTGTATTAAATATTTCTGACTGACTAATCATAGATACATTGTAACTAAATAAAACATGTTTTTTAAAGACTCAGTTCATCTGATTAATCAATTAAATGTTGCAGCCTTTTTAAAAATAGGTGATACAATGGTTTAATTAATTGTACTTGTGACCTAGTGAACAAAAAAAAAAGTGAGTGAATTGTCATAAGCACTTTTGCTTTTTGGGTTTTGGGGGCTTTTTGAGGGGGGTATAGTTGCATTTTATTGTTGCTTTATATTATGTATTACAATATTGTATTAAATATTTCTGGTTTTATTTCTGCATTGCTTTTATAAAAAAGGTTGTATTTTTGTTTTGATTATAGTATTGTATTTTGTAACTGAATTTTTATTATTTATGTTTTATTGGAAACCACCCAGAGAGCCCGATAGGCTATGGGGCAACATAAAAATGTGATGATCATGATGATGATGATGATGATGATGATGATGATGATGATGATTTTCATGAAGCAAATGCAGGGGTGGAGAACATATGGTCCTTAACCTATTTCATGTTTCCCTCAGTGATCAGCGACTCAGAAAGACCGGGAGAGGACAGCATACAGAAAATGACCATGTGTATTATTTAACTGTTTAATGCATTGCCTACCCTCTTCAAGTCTCAATTAAGCAGCAGTCTGTAGACATCACTGTAACAACGTCAGTAATTACTGCAAACCCCAAGCATTTTGCAGGAAAGCTAGCACAGCTCCTACCTCCTCTTGCTTTCAACTGGTTCAGGAAATCCAGCATTTGGTTGTCCTTCGCAGCCTTTGCCTGCAAAGAGATCAGAACCAGCTGTGCTTTCAAAGATTCAGGGAATGTTCAAGTACAGCAAAACAGGGCAACGCCTGCACAGCTTGTAACCCAACAAGCAGAACACATTTCCCGACTTATTTTGGCCCTGCAGATGTTTTGGACTACAGCTCCCAGAATTCCTCACCCTTAGCCATGCTGGCTGGGGACTGATGAGAGGTGAAGTCCAACACATCTAGAGAACCCCAAGTAGGGAAAATCTGCACCACAGTGTCCACAAGCGCAGTACTTTGCCTTTGCCATACAGAAATGAATTACCCCAATTGTCTTAGATGGCAGACCCCAAAAAGAGTTGCACTGGACACAGGTAAGCACTGCAAAAGCTCTAAACCTGCTCCACGGACTGGTGAGCCCCAACCCTCAATCCTGCTCCAAGCTACACAGCTCTGATCCTTTTCCAGTGGCATGAGGAGAGGCCATGCCACAGCGGCTCTGATACCGTGAAGGTAACATGAGGAGGAGATCCAACCAGAACACTTAGGTTGCTCTTGCAAGGGGCTCTGGCAGAGATATTCTTGCTAGACTGTTTCCTATTTATACACCAAAGATTTGATGTGTGAAAATGCCACAGCACATGGGCATGCACAACAACATACACACTTACTACTTGGAGAGGTGTTCTGCCACCATAGTCGGTGTGTTGCATGTCTACGCCTGCAAGATGCCAAGCCATCAGTCCATCCACATCTCCATTAGCAGTGAGACTGAAAACAAGGATTGTGTAAAAGAACACCTGTCATATGCCTTTCTTTTAACTGTTAGCAGTATTTTCCCTGCTAGTGAACCTTGAAAAACTGTTCAAGAACAGGTGAATACAACAGAAAAGAACATTACAGTGCAAGTACAGAGAGGTGCTGACAGCCAATGCTTCACACCCCATTTACTCAGAATGGGTGCAACTCCTTTTTACTTTTTTGCTAAAGCAAAATATGGTATATGTAGACTTCCTGGTCTTTGAACATACAGTATATGTAGATCTCTCTGAACATGCCCAAACTGCATCAGAAAAAAGTGTGATCTAGCAAGACATGTGTAGAAAGGATAGGATTCTGGAAATGGGAAATAGTTTGTATTCAAGAACATGGGCAGAGAACTGAAGGGCTAGTGTAGCCCCATTGGGGTCCATGCATTAGATAGGGTTCTAACCATCCCAGGGAACTCATCTGACCCATAGCTGCAGAGTCGCACTGTGCCGCTAATTCCAGGCTAATATCTGAGCTTACATCTCTGAATATCCTTTGCTGGGAATCAACAAACAGGGAAGGCTTTGACTTGGTATCCCCTTGTAAACTTTCTAGTTGCTTCTTGTTGAGTTGGAAGTAGGTTACTGGATGATAAGGGCCTTTGTTCTATGCAGCAGTCTTTTCTTCTCAATATTAATTCTAAGCATGGAGTAGTTTTTCTTTGCTTTCCACTTACAGGCAAAGTTTGGTTCCAACATGCTTCAGCTCTTCACTGGAAAGGTGTGCCCCTGTTTTCCGAAGAAGCTGTATTACATCCTTGTTCCTTCAAGAGGAAGGAAGAAAAGAAAATGTTGACACGTTCATAGATTCTTAATGAAACTAGCAGGGATCACATAGTCCACTTTTTACAAGCTGGTCCTCCCCACCCACAGCACAGAAGAGAGGGGCAAAAGTTGGCACGGCTGAGTTTCTGCTGAGGTCCCACACCCCAGCAAGGAGTGGGAAACCAGCCCTCTTTAATTGCACCTGCTCTGCACCTTTGCAGTCTGCTTGTTTAACCTGGACCAGACAAGGGTGGTAAAGAAAGAGGAACAGGAGATGGCCCCACCGACCTGCTCATTGGCTGTATGCCTGCCAAGCGAGTGATACCAGTGGTGAGGAGGAGCAACCAGAGCTTGCAACAATGGCAGTGAGCAGCTAGACTTGCTGAGAAAAGGACACCCATGGAGGACATCTTGAAGGAACCTTCACAACCTGGAACCATCACTGAATAGGGAGCTACTCCTTCTCCAAGAAGCATCTTTGGGTCCACTGTCTCACCTCTGGACGGCCCACCCAACCTCTTCCTCTTGTGCTGCCTAAAGAGTCATAGAATTATCAAATAGTTGGAAGGGGCCAGTAAGACCATCAGGTCCAACCCTCTGCTCAACGCAGGAACCCAAATTAAAGTATCCCTAACAGCTGACTGTCCAGCTGCATCTTGAATGCCTCCAGGGCGGGAGAGGTAATGGCCACCAAGGTCATGGGTTCCCACCATCATATTGCTCTAGCAGTCTGTTAGTTTTTCCTGGTGTTCAGCCAGAATCTGACTTCCTGTAACTGGAGTCCAAAACTCTGGGATGACAGAAAAGAGATCATTCCCTTCATTGTGTGACAGCCTTTCAAGTACTTGATGAGTGAATGGATAGATGCAGGTAGATCTTTCCAGAAGGAAGGGATAGATGAGCAATCAGAGGCAGCAGCAACCCTCACTTATCCAATCCTAGCTGCAGAAGGAAAGGCTGAGTGATCCTATAGAAGAAGCAGGCCTGCTTTCACTTGCCCAAGCTCCGTTAGGCTGACAGGGCAGGAAGGATCTGACTTACTCAGCTCAATTGTCACATCTGGACTGCATGGACACTCAGCTCAGGGAGGAAGGGAGGGGACACGCTGGCGGTCCCTTCCATGACCAACCTGCAGTGCTGCATGTCTTGCGGGGGCAGGAATGGGGAAGAAGAAGACAAGAACCAGCTGAGTTCACATTCTTTCAAAGCTGCACTGTGGATGAACTCCTCACCATTGCAATATCCAGAAAGGGCAGGGCAGGGCAGGGGCAGCCGTTGCTTTCTCTTCCTTGCATGTTTCCTCCTCTCCCTATCCACCACCTCTAAAAGACAGGACTCAGAAGGTGTGCCACCAGGGATGATGTTTCCAGGGGACTTTCTGATGTGTGTGGGGAGGTGCCCTTTTCCAGGCTGTACTGTGAATCAGAGGGTTGCTATTCAACATCCCCTTCCTGGCAAAGGTACTTCAAAAGAAGGCACTTAGTGGTGCAATTGTCCTGCCTCATTCATGGCATGTGTATGCGGGGAGGTCCAGATGCTGCTGACTTATCAGGAAAATATCTATTAATAAGAAAAGGTAAGAGAGATGCACATTGGCTTTTGATTAGCAGTGACAGGAGCCCTCCACCTAGAAACATCCCTGCTGTTTTTACTTCAAAAGAGTAAAGCGGATGTGGGAAAAGAGAGTGTTTGTTCTCTGAGCATCCCTTTTTTACTTCTACCTGAATTCGATGGCATTCATCAGTGGGGTGGCACCATATCTGTCTTTAGTGTAGACACTCGCTCCTCTTTTCAGTAAGTACTCAGCCAAATGAACATGCCCTTCACTTGATGCAACATGAAGGGGAGTTCGGCCATCATAATCTTCACAGCTCAAGTTTCCACCCTGAAAACAAGAGGCATCCACCATCTGCTAAAGACAAGAGCAGCTGCAAAAGAACTTAACTAGTTTCTTTGTTAAACTATGCAATGCACTATCATCATTGCTGTTGGGTAATGATGGCCAGGAAGGAGGATGGATTTAAAAAGGACATTGAGATTGGTTTTACAATGACTTTAACATTAGGCAAATTTGTGGAGGAGAATCTGGGACCCTGTGTGTGAGAAGCATGAACTCGGCTACTCAAGTATGGCTCTTCTGCAAAGGTCTGGAAGAGATCACTGAAGTGTCAGAACCTCTGAGCTCAGTTTCAAGAAAAGCAGTTCCAATAAACCTTCTTCGCATCTGGCCTGCTGTCATAGAACCATCTAATAGTAGAGTTGGAAGGGGCCAGAGGATCATCAGGTCCAGCCTCCTGCTCAGTGCAGGACTCCCAGTAAAACCACCCCTTTCAGTCGGCTGTCCAGTTGCATCTTGGATGCCTCCAGTGTGGGAAAGCCCACAACCTCGCTAGGTAATTGGTTCCATTGTTATACCGCTATGACAGTCTGGAATTTTTTCCTGATATCTAGCCAGAATCTGGTTTCTTATAATTGGAGCCCAATATTCCATGTCCTGCACTCAGGGATGATTGAGAAGAGATCCTGGCTCTCTTCTGTGTGACAGCCTTTCAAGTACTTGCAAAGTGCTATCATATCTCCCCACCATCTTCTCTTCTCAAATGTTTCCATCAATACAAATGACAAGGACATGGGTACAGGCCTTGCCCATTTCTCATGGCTTTGAGACACAGTTGACCAACACATCTCTGGGCCAAGTCAAACATTGTTGACTTTAGACTTTGAGTTAGCCTGAATCCCATTCTGAAGGAAAGATATTCTTCACACCATCCAGAACATTTGTCACCTGTACAAGGTTCTCCTCAAGCAAGGAGCTAACATCCACTATCTCTCCCAAGGCACACTGCCCAAGATCTCTCTCTTCTAACACTTGGAGGTCAGCTTGAAAGGCTCCAAGGTCTCAGGTCTTTTAAATTCCTACTAGTTCTTCACAAAGATGAAGGAGCTCAGTTTAGCTCAGGCATCTGTGCAAGATGTTTCTCTCTTGCCATTTGACAGGCAGTTCTCCAAGGTTCTGCAGAATTCAAGCTTCCCCTTGTAACTGGGTCTGGGACCTGATAGCTGTTGTGTGATCCTTGCTGTATTTAGATGGCACCTGAGCCCCTTGCAAGTTTGGATATGTGTCCCAAAGACTCTCGGCTCAGTCAGTCCAGCAAGGTCACATTTCCAAATCTGTATGTTCTTAAGCATACCGAACAAGCTTCAAATAGGTATATTTACCATTTCTTCAATGGCTTTCAGTGCATCCAAGTCACCAATTTTAGCAGCAGCACAAGTCAGAGATGGAATTAAAGCACCAAACTCCTGACGACAACAACGAAACAGATTTTAAAATAAACTCTCAGTCTAACCTACCTCACAGGGTTGTTGTTGTAAGGATCAAATGAAGCTACAGAAGTTGCCTTGGGTTTCCCACAAGAGGAAAAAAGGCAGAATCTTAATGCAATGTGATGATAATAATTCTGTGTGTAAATGCATGCATGTAGACATCTATCTGTCTGTATATACATATGATTATATACATAAAAGATTACATTCATTGGGCACAGAGGATAGGGAGAGAATCTGCATCAACGGTATAATCATATTGATTAATAGTTAAGTCCAAAATGAGCTAAGGGGTTAGCAAAATCTGGATAAATCCACAAAGAGCTTTCAACTTTCATCACTCTTAGACTGACCCCTGAATAACTAAATATTACAAAGCAGGTTTTCAGCTTAGGTTTAGATTTGCATCATGTGTGCTCCGCGTTTACCTCTTTGCAGTTAAGACTTATAAATTTGGCCATCACGTTAAGAAACTTGCTGTTCCCCAAGGAGCAGTGGGTTCCCATGAACGCAGAAGACATTTCCCCTCTGAGGTTGTCACCCAACATCTGGAGGGAAGAAACAGAAACAAAAGCTGATAAAAATATTCTGTTTAAGCCTTCTTTTAATATTTCCCAAAAGCAATTTGTTAATGTCTAAACTGCTGAGATTCTAGTCGCAGAGTTGTAGAGTCAATGAATCATCCTTAAAATTATCTAGCCTCGGAACGAAGTTCTTCAAGAAGTCTGGGAACTAGTATTATGACTGAGAAGGATTTTTCCCCTTCCATGCTCTATCTCTACACCAGGAATAGGCAACCTGTGCCTTCCAGATGTTTTCAGCTATTGCAAAATATCAGCCCTAGCCAGCATGGACAATGAAATCTTTTGACTGGGTAACCTCCAAAAAGACAAAGTGACACTGGACATAATCTACCTTGACTTTGGAAAAGGTTTCAACATAGTGTCCCATGATACTCTGATAAGCAAATTAGCAAAAAGTGGAATTGATAAAAAAAACTATTAGGTGGATCCAAAATTGCTTGCTAAATGGGACACAAAGAGTGCTCCTCAATGCCACCTTCTCAAATTGGATGGAGGTGACTAGTGGGGTGCCACAGGGTTCACTCCTGGGCCCAGTGCTCTTCAACATCTTTATTAATGATTTAGATGAGGAAGTATAAGGGACAATAATCAAATCTGCAGACAATACAAGGCAGGGTAGAATAGCCAACACCCTAGAAGATCCAGAGTGAGCCTGATAAACTTGAACCCTGGGCTGAAAAGAACAGAATGAGAATCAATAGGGTCAAGTGCCAAGTCCTCCACCTAGGAAAAAGAAGCCAAATACAGCCATACAAGATGGGGAATATATTGCTCAACAGAACTGAAAAAGTTCTTGGAGTTATTGTGGACCACAGGCTAAATATGAGCCAACAATGCGATGCAGCTGCAAAAAGGGCAATGCTATTTGGGATGCATTAACAGAAGTATTACTTCCAAATCATGAGAAGTAGTAGTTCCCCTATACTCCTCACTAGTCAGACCCCATCTAGAATACTGTGTCCAGTTCTGGGCACCAAGATAAGAAAAATGCAGAAAAACTAGAAAAAGTCCAAAGAAGGGCAACAAAAATAATCCAGAGTTTGGAAACACTGTCCTATGAGGATAGACTGAGAGAACTGGGCATGTTCAGCCTTGAGAAGACTGAGGGGGGACATGATATCCCTATATAAGTACCTCAAAGGCTGTCACAAAGAGGAAGGTCAAGATCTCTTCATGCTGATGCCAGAGTGCAGGACATGGAATAATCAAGCCAAATTGCGACAACTCAGCTTCAGGCTAGATATCAGGAAAAGTTTCCTCACAGTCAGAGCAATATGACAGTGGAACCCATTGCCTAGGGAAGTTGTGGGCTCTCCCGCCCTAAAGACATTCGAAAAGAAACTGGACAGTCATCTGAGTGGGATGGTGTAAACTGGTGTCCTACAACATCAATGGGTTGGACCCAATGGCCTTCATGGCCCCTTCCAGCCCTACTATTCTATGATCAGAGACTGAGAGCGCTTGGGTCGAAAACACCTGGAGGACACTTTTTTGCCTACCTCCGCTTATTGCAAGGGTAAACTCATAACCCTCTTTTGTATTCTGATTTAGCTCATGAAAGCAGCAGAAGGAACTAACAGGAATACAACCCTATGGTAAGAATTATTCCAGTTATGGAATATTCCAACTTCATAAGACTTGTAGGCAAGGTTTGGCTATGATGATGAAAAGAGTGATCAGGTGTGCATATGCACAGGTGACTGATACTCCACAATGTCTTGTTAAAGATCCCCTACCCATGCCAGATGCATGCTGCCTGGTCTCCCTAAGTGCCTAGGATGGACACAGCTTGTTACATGGAAATGCAGAGACTGGGTTGCTTAACAAACCCCTCATTATTCCTCTAGAAAGTGCTTAGGACATGCAAGGGATGATTAACAAATGACTTGTTGACCTCCATTGTGTCATGCAAATCTGAAGCTTGCGTTTTTAGATCAATCAAGTCCAAATCAAAATGGAGACAAGGGGGCTGTAGCTCAAGAGGTTAATGCTATGGGATGTGTTCCCTAGAGAGGTCTGCCTGGTGCCGTCATTATATGCTTTTCAGCACCAGGTCAAGACTTTTTTATTCACCCAATATTTTAATGTTTAGTAGTTTTTAATCATCTTTTATTACAGTTGTGGGTTATTTTAGTTTTATTATTGTTTGGGGTATTTATGATATTTATATTGCTGTATTTATTGTAAGCCATCCAGAGACCCAGAGAGATGGACAGGTTCAAAATATCCCAAATAAATAAAATAAATGCTACAGTATAGCCCTTGCAGTAAAAGAATCTCAACATTGAAAAAATCTCTCCTTGTGGCCTTGGGGAGCAGCTGAAACTTTAAGTGGACAACATTGGAGTAGATGAGACAATGTCAGAGGGAAGGAGACAGAAGGGAAGCTGACATTTCCGCTCACAGTACATTCATTACCTCCTTCTTCTCCTTCCAGGAAAGATGTCTTTTGCCAAGCACATATGAGAGCTTTGCCAAGGATGCTTCAGGGGTCATATCCCCTCCTGAAACCACTCCAACATGAATGAGGTCCTAAAAATGAGAATATGCTTGTGTACTCAATTGTTGGCGCAAGTAACCTAAGTGACTGGAAAAAAGTACAATGGGTAGAGTCACCACAGAAAGCAGCAGTATAATGTTTAGAGGTTGTCTGTGAAATAGCTTATTCAACGAGGGAGCCCGAACAAGGACATCTGAGAATTTTGGCAAAGGTTCAGGTCACACCATCTCAGGGTGGTTAAGAAGCCATGGTGGCTTGTTAACTACTCTGGATGCGCACAATTATTCTCAAACCACCTAGAACTCACCTAGGTTGTAACCACCCCAACAAGCCAACCTTGCCTGGTCCAGATACCCTTTTGCAGTGGCAGGGTTTGAATCGGCAACCTGGCACCCACAGGCACAGCCAACCCGGTTTGCAATGATCATGTGAACCAAGCCGTGCTGTGCTGATAAGCTATCTGGCTTATTTCCTGTGATGGTGCAGTGATCCAGCCCGTCCCAATGCCATTGCTTCAGAAACCATTCACTATTACATCTATATGCCACTTTTTCTCCAGAGAAAGCAGTGTACATAAATTTCCCAGACAATCTGCCAGTCAGAAAGTGACCAGACTCAGATCTTCTCAGCTTGAGCAAGGCTGTCACTCATGGGACTTCCTCTAGGCCTGGCTTTTTGATCGTGAAATCCTCAAAGGGCATGTAGTAAAATACATTGTCGTGAGTGCTGCCTTCCTGTGCTGCCACCCACACACAAAGATTCTTGGAAATTCTAGCCTCATGAAGCTTATACCTGTGAGAAAAGCTTTTTCTCAAAATTCTTTGGGGGAAAGTAATGACTTACCAAATTGTGTTCTTTCTGTGGAGTAGCTATGTACATATACGTAGCTTGTACATGTGTGTATAGCTCGTAAATCCCTGGCATAAAATCCCATACACAAGAGATTCAGAACTGAATGTGAACATGTAAGCCCCCATAATGCTGCCTTAGTTCTACATAAACTAGACTGGACTTCCATTGTCCTTAAATGGAATTATTTTTTCTACGTTTTTGTTTGTTTGCTATACCTACAGAGGCATTCTGTAGGTATGCATCAAGGCAGAGATGCATTCCTTTTGTTTCATTTTTTGCTTAAAATTATTAATACAGAAAACATCAAAGGCTACAGGATACAGGTGAGTGTTATGCATATTTAATCCCTCATTTCCATCACCTGTCCAGTTGCATAGGTGGATGCCACGGAGCCTCGCAGACATTGTGTGCAGTTTAGGATCACCACATTCCTTTTCGTGGCTTGCCTCAACTCTTCCAGCAAATCAGGACGGTTGTTTGGGGCATTGCCACATCCGTAGGTTTCCAGCACTATCCCTTCCATTGGAGGCTGAAGAAATGCTTTCACCTATTAAAAATGGAAGGACAAAATTCCACAGCAGAGAACCCAGGTTGGGACAGTTACATAAATATTCAGCATTGATGGATAATGCATTTGTCACATTGCTTGTATCTCCTTTATTTTGAAGAGGGGCTTGCACTGGGCGAAACATTATATAAATGCCTTTCATATATTAAGACCCCAGGGAGCCTTTTCATAGGCTTACATGTATTCAGCCTCTTGATCTAATTCAGATTAAGACTGAAAATTATTCTAACATCCTGGGCTTTTTGGAAAGTTTGGGGAAAACTATATAAGAAGCAATGGGTGAGGAAGAACAAGGATGCTAAGATGTGTAAACCAAAATCAGTATAAAATGAGTAATTCTGCTCTCATTACTCATCATTAATCAAATTAATAATTATTCAAGAGAATACAGTGGCTCTTAACTGCATTAATTTTAAGAAAAAAGCAGATGCATTGGAAGATAGGCAGCATATAAATAAATCTGTTTGAAGAGCTGGGAAGGAGATTGTGGGTCAGATATTAAATTATTGCTGGTAGTTAATTGGGTGTTGCCTTGAACATATTTCAAGAATGCATACAGTGGAGGCAGTAATTCCTGGAAAAATCCTCAGCAATCCCACATTCCTGTTCATTTCAGTCTGGACCTCAAACTTCTTTGTGGTGTTGGCTCGCCATACTATTCCCCAGTCAACTGTGAGAAGGAAAACAAACAAAGGGAGATAAAAAGATGTTGAAATCAGAAGAGAAAATGTACACACCAATGTAACTTTAAAAAGCTTTAATTGCAATAGCAATTGTCCCTTTATTGAATTTATAAACCATCCAACTGCCAGACAGTCTCTGGATGGTTTACAGAAAGAAAAAGAACCTAAACAATAAATATCAGAATGAAATATTAAACCTATTTAAGAGCCAGCAGTAAAGTTAGTAATCAGAGTAGCAAAGCAGAAATAAAATGCCTACTGCAAGAGCAAAGTCTGAACCTGGTGTCTAAGTATACAATAAAGATGGCAAGCAGTTCTCCCTGCAAAAGGCATTCAGAGACAGGGGGCCACTGCAGAGAAGGCTCTTCCCCTTGTAGCTTCTCACTGTAGCATTACAGGTGTGGCACCCACAAAAGAACCTGCAAAGTTGTTATTAGCAATCAGGCAAGAAAAGTCCATTATTTTAAGAAATGAGTGGGAAGTGAGGTCAAAGAAAACCCATAAAGAGCTCCAGGAAGCTTACAGGTTGCCTCTCAGCAAAAGCTGGGGCTAACAAGCTTCCTTTTCAGAGGAAAAGCTCAGCTGGAAAAGGAAATTCACCCAGGGTGAATGCACAAGGATGCTGCGGAGCTCAGTGGCTAACCTGGGCCAGTCGTGCACGTTCAGCCTAACCGGGCTGCGGTTGGGAGGGTGACAGATCGGGAGCAGTTACAGTTTTGGTCAAGATTATAGTCATAGCGATGATGGTTGCTTTGATTGTTACAATGGATACTATCATTCCTTTGTTTGTATAAAATAATAATGTAAATAATAATAACCTATTAGTAGCAGTAGTAGTATTGGTGTATTCCTACTTTTGTTATTATTGTACTTAGATAACACCTCATAATTATCGGGCGCTATGAAGAGATGCTGAATTATGTAGCAAGGGCTCCTGTGTACAGCTTTTGCTGCCTGAGACGGTGTATTAAATTGTATCATATTGTAACTGTGTTTTTATGTTGTAAACTGTTCAGAAAGCTCATGAGCCAAGTACAGTATATAAAACTTGCTAAAGAAATAAAATCTACCTGGACATTTAGCCTGTCATTTCTCAGTAGAGTTTTTTCAACTATCTTCCTGCCAGACAAACCTTGTGGATTCTATGACAAGGTTTCGAGGTGGCTAGATGGAGGGGATGCGGTGAATGTGGTTTACCTGGAATTCAGCAAGGCCTTTGGACAAAGTGCCTCATGATATCCTGGTGGAGAAACTGAGGAGTTTTGGGATAGACCAATGCACTGTCCGATGGATTAGGGCATGGTTGGACCAAAAGCAGAGGGTAACTATTAGCGGGGAATCATCGGGGTGGCAGCCAGTGACAAGTGAGGTCCTCCAAGGCTCTGACCTGGGCTTGATCCTGTTCAATCTTTTCATCAATGACCTGGAAGAGGGGGTGACCAGTCTGCTGATCAGATTTGCAGACGATACTAAAATGGGGCAGTGGCCACAACTAAGGAGCAGATACTCCAGACTATAGAAGTGGGCAGGGGACAACAGGATGGCATTCAATGTGGGTAAGTGCAAGGTCTTGCACTTGGAGTATAGGAATGGGCATCACAAGTACAGGTTAGGGGACAAGTGGCTGGAGAGCAGCACTTGTGAAAGGGACCTTGGGGTGCTGGTTGACTGCAGGCTAAACATGCGTCAGCAGTGTGATGTAGTGGTCAAGAGAGCGAACACCACCCTTGCTTGCATAGCCAGAAGCGTGGCTTCTAGATCAGGGAGGTATTACTACCACTTTATATGACTCTGGTGCACCCGCAATTGGAGTATTGTGTTCAGTTCTGGGATAGCAAGGAAAGCTGTATGAGGCGAGACTTGAGTCTTTTCAGCCTGCAGAAGAGGAGACTCCAAGGGAATCTGTTCGCAACATATAGGTATGTGAGGAGGTGTCACAGAGGTGGGTAGAGACCTGTTCTCCTCTGCAGAGGGCAGGATGTGTTCCAATGGAGCCAAGGTTCAATTTGGATGCTAGAAAGTACTTCCTGACAGTTAGCACCCCTAGAGTATGGAATGGGCTTCAGTTCCCAGACACTACAGAAATGTAATAAAGAAATAAATGTAGCTTTTCCTCATGGATTTGTTTGGCTTCCAAGATCCAGTCAGGGAGGCTATAAAAGAGCTACTAGCGCAGGAAGGGGGAAATCTTTAATCCTGCCCTTGAAGCATTTTTTAATTATTCTTAAATTCTTAATAAAGTCTTGGATTAATCCATCAAACACAAAACAAGCTCAAGGAATCCTTTACTATCACTTACTTTTCATATCCACCTCAGCATTCGCAAGGGGAGGCAGGTTAGGTGAAGAGAATGCATCAAAACTTCCAGTATCCACTTTGGTCACCCGGTTTCCCCTGTACAGTTTGTGATGAAAATACAAGCATACCTGCAAGGCACCCGACAACATCTGTCTGGATTAGCATTGTGGTAGAACCGTTCCAATAGAAAGCACATTTTGTCTGATCCACCAGTCTAATATCCACAAAGCAGCCATGTCCTTAATGTACTTAACCAATTTATCTGAACAACAGCATGGACCTGTGGTGTTTGGTTAAGCTTCAGGAACCAGTGTTATTGGTATTTTGCCAGCCATTGACATAACCATGATAAAAATGTACTGATGCCATATATGGCTGCTAGTCAACATGGTTGAAAGAAGGTATGTTAATACTCAGGATAGCAAAGACTGGGATTAAGGCTGAGGATTAAGCAATACTGTAGTGCTGAAGAAGCAATCCTATGCATGTTTAGACAGGAAAGGGTCACACAACTGGGAGCAGTATGTATTTTATTTATATCCCACCTTTTTTCCTTCCAAGGAAGTCAAGGAGACTTACATAATTCTCCTCCTGCTCTCCAGTTTATCCTCACAACAACCCTGTGAGGTAGGACTGGGCTGAGAGTTTGTGACTGGCCCAATGTCACCCAGTTAGTTCCATGACAGAGTGGGGACTGGAACCCAGATCTTCTGACTCCCAGCCCAGCACTCTTAACCACTATACCACACTGGCTCTCAAGTAGGACTTGCTTTCTGTCTAAACACCCACTCTAAGAGACTGGATACTACCCCTTGTTTCATCTATCAATGTTGGTCCTACTTGGAGTAGATCCACTGAGATTTCAATTAAACCCTATTAATTTTAATTGGTTTCCTGTAAGTGGGACTAAAATTGGCTACTACCCCAAACCCCAATTTGAATCTTGCCTCTTCATAGGTCATGTTATACAAGCCAGTCTCTCTCAGTTTCAGTTTTCCCTGATCTGCACTATGGGAGAGAGCAATGCTGACTGACTTTATGGGGTCGTAATAAGGATAACAACTAGAACAACCTTTCTGCATTTGGGGCTCTCCAGATATGCTTGCCTACAAGTTCCAGAATCTCCCAAGTACAATGGGAAATTAGGTCAAGAGTTAGCCTGAGATTAGGCTCACCCCATAATATACCACATGATTAAGACAGCAGACTTAAAACCTCCCTGCAAGCCATACCCACTGAATGCAATAGGGCTTATTTTGAGAAGGCATTTATACAATTTTATTGTAAGCATTGTAATCCTGAACTTTGAGTCCTTCTACTTGAAAGACGTAGAATCAGGGAAGTAGCCCTTGAATACTACAGACCTCAGGAATGACAAATTGTCCAGCAATCAGAAGTGCTCCCAGGAGGTTTGAACGTCCATCATTCCTCAGTTCATAAATAGGTACCTGGCAAACAAAATTTAGTAATTGTTTGGAAATTACCAAGCCTGTAAATTTAGTCAAGGATGTCATGTACTAATGAAGGCACTTTCCCATCACAGACACTGTTACTCTTGCAAACACAGGCAAAGAAGGAAAAGTTTGGAAGATGACTGATCCATTATCGTTTACAGAGCAAGCAGCTGTCACACTGCCTCTTCAAGCTGTTCTCTTAAAAGGCCAGTGACCACATTCTTCGTGTCAAAGGAATGCTGGTTTAAAATTGAATTGTGTGGTCATGCACAGCTGTGCAGCTGTACAGGTGCAGAATAAAAGCTGACTGTCAAAAAAGCAGGCTTTCTGAGATGAACCAAGACCAGAGAGCCACCCTGCCACCCTCTGCTGAGCTTTGGGATTGCACTCCTTTGCATTTCCTTTTATTGTGTTTTCTCCTCTTCCCCCTGCCCTGCCCCTACTCTCTTCATTGTGCTTTTCCACAGCACCTGAAAGAGACTCAGCAGTCCTTGCCCCTGCTCAAAAGCAGGAAGACTCTACCCATCTGTCTAAGCCGGAAGAGAGTTCCAAGATCAAAACCCATGTGAGGAAAGAGCAGGAACGCTTAAGAGGAGAAAGATGCTAGGGAAGGCAGAACATTAGCAAAACAGGGGCTAGCTTTTAAAACCACTCCCACCAGCAAGAGTTATACTGCTAAATCAGGTGCTGTTGTGGATTTAGCTGTTCTGTTTTATTCTCTATAGTCTTGAGATCCTGACTGGATATAAGATGGAGTACTAATGTTTTAAATCCATCACTCAATCAATCAATCAACCATTCGAACAGTCATCTGACTTGGTAGCACATGCAATCAGCAATCGCTGAAAAAGTAGTTTTGGGGGGAAAGGAAAAAAATATAAAAATAGTTTTATGGGGAAAGGAATCGGAAGGGGTAATAGCAACTCACCGCATTGTGCATTGAGTGAGCCAGCCGTTACTTACTTACTTACTTATTTATTTAGAAGGCTTCTATGCCGCCCCATTCGCCGAAGCCTCGGGGCAGCTCACAATAATAAATAAACACAGTATAAAACAATATAATATAATTTGAGTCGACCTGGCCCGGAAAATAAAATAAATAAATAATATTAACAATTAAAATAACGTTTGAATAAAAAGGTCTTTGCCTGGTGCCGAAAAACAAATAACATTAAAAACATTAGTCTAGTTTGGCCCCAGGTCAAAGATCGTAACACAAGCCAAAGATGTTGGTGTGTAATTGTTGGCACTAACATTTAAAAAAGGCAAAACAGGAATGGCACTTTACCAGGGACAGGTATTGAAAGATAAGGACACAAATATAGGCAGCTGTAGAGCATGACAAGTTATTATCATGATGATAAAACAGTTTCATGCCTGTCTAGAAATTCTAGCTGGTCTGTGTCTAGGAAAGATTGCAGTCACAAGAGAACAGTTTAATACCGGTTTTGACAAGTCTCATATACTTACCACAACACCATCAACCTGGCAGAAATTTACAGGAAGTTGTGGTGCAGAGACAAAAGGCAGGGGATCTTAAACTCCTCCAAGCGAGTAGTGTAGCAATAAAAGTTATTCCACCACACCTTACCTGGGATCCCGTCAGAACAATGGTTTTTCCAACATTCTCGCACATGAAGGATAGAGCAGCTGCTGTGTAGGCCATGGTGTCCGTCCCGTGAAGGATCACAAAGCCATCATACTTTTCATAGTAGGTCTAAACAAACCAAAAACACGGTGTAAGTCATGTTGTGCACAAGTTGCCTCTGTGCAATGAGGCACAAGGGCTGCTGGATTCACGAGAACATCCTACAAGCTGCATGGCTTTGCAATAGCAGGTGGATGTTACCACCAGCAAACCCTACCGCCATTGCATGTGGGTGGGACACAAAGTGATGGAGCAACACAGAAGTGGCAGGGCATGCTTAGAGGTAGCAGAAGAAAACAAGCTTGAGGAATATTCCTCTGTGCACCCTCAGCATGGTATTTGGGGCATGGTAGAGCCAGGCACATCAGGGGGAACCAGGTGAGCCCAAGCGCTTCTATCAGCTTATTATTGTTAGATTGTGTTGAGGTTAGGTTTAGATGCCAAAGTGACCCACACTGGAAGTCCTATTGAGCAGGTAAGATCAACACTGTTATGGCCAATACCAAGGTTTCAGTACTACCTGCCAACCACGAAGGCCAGTGTTGAACATCCTCGCTCTTTCACAATGCGTATGCAGATACGGGGGATTCAGTAAGCTGGAATCCAGCCACAGACCGTGTAATTCCTGGTTTTGCCTAAGAGATCAGTGTATTATGGATGTTGAACATCAGATTCAGGGGTCAGATATGGCCCTCCAGTGTTCCCCAGGAGGCCTTTCCCCAAATCACCAAGTGTTTCCTGCTTCCTTTCCACCCCTTGGTGGCTTCCTAGTTTGTGTGTGCATTTTGTTAAACAGTTGAAATGCCTCTCCTATACCAGCAGTAAGGACTTTACACTAAGATATGCTGTTGAATGTGGAACTCTGGCTTCGCTCTATCTGTCTTTCCTTCTGCACATGACTGAAATGCAGCCTCCCAGTCCTTCGGTGAAACTGAATTTGGCCCTTGGGCTGAAAGATCATCCCGGATTTTGATGCTGATTCTCTGAAAATGTCAAGCAGGATTACAGCAACAAAAAGAAGATTTAAAAACAATAACACAACTTGTTGACGTAGAGACTACATTGAAGGCAATATTGTGTCAATCAAAATCCTGGTGAATGAGGCATATCATATTCACAACTACTTCATGGAGGAGAAGGCTATTCTCATGGCTAGTAGTCCGGGCGGCTACATGCTGTCTATGGGAGCAAAGGCAGTATGCCTCTGTACACCAGTTGATGGGAAACTAGGGGTCTCTTGCACCTATGCCCATGAGATCCCATGCATGGGCTGGTTGGCCGCTGTGTGAACAGAATGCTGGAAGGGAAGGGAAGAATAGTTGTAGAGCTGAAATAGGCCTATAAGGCCACTGAGTCCAACCCCCCTGCTCCACTTCCACAAGTGGTCACCCACCCGGCTGCTGGCCCATGCCTTTCCTGCTTAGCAAAGGGGACTTGGCATGCTAGCTCAAAGGACAGCTATGAAGCCTTGGTCAGACCCAACAGGGCTCTTCTCACATCCTTCCTGAATGCTATCAGTGTGGTTGTGTTCCTCTCCTCTTCCCAAAGGAAATTCCACAGGTCTGGGGTAATTGCCACGAAGGTCCAGTTTTGCTGTCCAAACCTGCCATAAATATGGCATGGACACTACCGCTTTCCGGTCAACCTTCAACATGTAAGCAGGTTCATGCAAGGTAAGATGATGCATAAAGTACCAAATATACACAATTTTGCATGTTTAACATGCATGTGCAAGAACCACAGTCATACCATGCACTCACCTCAAGATCTTTGGCAATCTTAGCCCAGTCGTCTGTTGTCATGTTACAAGAATCAAGCAGAGGTGAATACTCAAGAATAGTATAGATTATTCTTTTCTTTCTTTTAGAGAGCCTGAATGGGACAAAATTTACAAAGAGGAGGAGGGGCAGGAGGAGGAGGAAAGGAAGAAGTTGAATATACACAGCGATACCATTTGGGTTTGCTTCTCACGTGTGGAAGCATCCATGTGATTCTGCCTCAGAAGATTGTCAGGCCCACCACTGGGCTCACAGCCAGACATACTTTGTTCGCCAGGTACCTCTACAGACCCAAACTGGTATTTGCATGCCAGGTATAGACATGGCCAGAGAAGTGTCAAACCAGAGCTGCAGTGCTGTTTTTTTCAAGCACAAGGGAGAGGGGGCTCAAAATGTAGAAAAAAAAACCTTCAACAAAGTCACTGGAACCCATAGAACAGGTGGCTATTGTTACTGAAAGTCCATGACAATGCAGTGCAGCCTTTCCTAATCTTGGTGCTCTCCCAGTTTTATCTATTTATTTATATTACAGCCACACATCTGAACAGTATCCGGTTGGGAAGTACAGAGATTAGGTTCCACATCTCTGCAGATGTGTACCAGGAGACTTAGGAACTGATTCTGAGCCAGACGGGGAGGGAAAGGGTGTTGATGAGGCTCCGAAAGCATGGAAGGACACCAGTGATCCAACCAGGGACATAGTGGTTAGAGTGTAGGACTTGGACTCAGGAGATCTGGGTTCTAGTCCCCTCAACCATGATGCTCACTGGGCAATTTTAGGCCAGTTATGGATTTCAGCCAGGTCCTCAAAACCAACGGAATGCAAGCTCCTAAGGAAGAGGAGGAAGAAGAGGAGGAGGGAAGAGGAGGCTCAAGAGCTGGGCATCAGGCAAAATGGGAGGGACAACACAGAGTCACACAGTGCTCAAAGAGACTTGCCAACCATGAAGTGACCCTGAGAAAAGACCCAGCCGGAAGGAGGGCCTTAGTAACCCCTCAGCCTGAGAAGAGCAAACTGTAGGACTGTGTCAGTTATGTGGCAACTCCATTTCATGACACTAAAACATAAAAGCTGGGCTAAGCAGCTGCACGTACAATTATTCCAATTACAAAACTGTACCAGAAAGGAAGATCTAACAGAATTGTTTGTCTCAAGAACTTCTCCAGATATTATCTCACTGCATTGATTCACTGGAAAGAGATTTAGGAATGAAAAATTTCTCCTGGAGAGCAGCCAGAAATGCCCCTTTAGCATTTTGCTTATCTCTTCCAAACCTCATCTTATATAAACTATAAATACAAACAGTTAAATTAACATTTGATTTCATGCATCATTGTTTGCAATGGCCCATGGCTATAAGAGTAAACAGTCTGTGGTTGCATCCTTTCTACAACATGCCCCTTTGTCCTTTTCTATCAGCAATGCCCACATTGCATTGTTAAGGGTTTCTCTGATTTTGTCTGTGATCTTTAAATACTCATTTTTCACAAGCCACTTCTGCTGCGGAACTCTGGGATGGCCATGTTTTACATTATTTTTTTAAAATGATGTAACAAAACACACTTCGTATCAAAATGGGACAGGCATTTATTCAACCTTATTGCAAAATGCCAAACACCAGTTTGAATTTTTTTAAAAATCCTTGTGCCACTTCTGGAATCACATAGATTAAGAATTCCAAAATGCAGAAGACACATCTTATACCAATACATATGGCCATCCACTTTCAGAAGGCAAACTTTATTAAAGCATTCACTTGAACTTACGGAAGCACCAAGGTGTTGTCTGCAAACTCAGAGGATTCACAGAGTTGTGCTGCCCTTGCATATTCCTCATCATGTAACATAGGCATTTTTTTCAAGGCAGCCACCAACTTATTCATCTGAGGAGCAAGCCCTAGAAAGACATCCAAAAAGAAAACAAAAAGTGAAAGATGTCGTGTTGGCCGTATGTAAAATTCCCAAATTCATATTTATACAATCCCTTTTCTTGTGCTGATCAAAAGATCACAAAAAGATGGGCAAACTTTTGAGATTTCTCTCTTCCACAGCCAAGATGATATAGAAAAGTGGAGGGGCAGGGAAAACAGGAAAGAAAAGTGAAGCCATAATCTTCAGAATCCCAGGATGCAATGGGGGAAGTGAGGCCTATACAGGCCATCAAATTAGGACCTGGGGGCAAGTGATGGTTACTGGGCCTTGCAGCTGTCGCTGGTGGTGCTGGAAGCAGAAAGGGGAAGAGGTTGGCTTCACCAGTTCTGAAAATGTGAAATCTAGCAGTACTCATAAGTGTTTTCCATCCTAGGAGAAGCATGCGGCTTCTGGTAAAAGAATCCTGTTTGCTTTGACCAGGATGGAGGCACTGGCTGGGTTCATATGACACACCAAGCCACACTGCATGGAAAGTCACAGACACTCAGCCCAACCTACCTCACAGGGAGGTTGTTGTTGTGAGGATAAAACTGAGAGGAAGAGGAAAATTCTGTAGGCTGCCTTAAATTCCTTGAAAGAATCACACAATCCTAGAATAGTAATGTTGGCCAAGAAGGCCATCAGGCCCAACCTCCTGCTGTTGCAGGAGACCAATTTACACCATTCCAATCAGAGGGCTTTCCAGTTTCTTTTTGAATGTCTCCAGTGTGGGAGAGAAAGAAAAGAAATGCAGGACAGAAATATAATAAATAACGTTCATTGTAAATACCTAACTTGGGCTTTCTGGCCCCAGTGGAAAATTAGCACTAATATTGCCAATGAAAATATTGCTAACCAATAGCCATCACAAATTCAAGACGTTTTGTTTTCATGGTTTAGACTCAGACTACACCTCTGAGGGCCAGTATCCAAAAGGACATAAATGCTAATGCAAATTACATTACACTACTCTAGAACAAGACCAATAGTGTTAACTGATGCACTTCTGGAGAAAACCAGCATGCTAATGCTACTTGTGTTGCACTATAGTCAGCACTTTCTGCTAACAGAAGCATTCCGCACTGGTGAGGCCTCATCTGGACTGCTGTGTCCAGTTCAGGGCACCACAGTCTAAGGAAGATGCAAACAAACTGGAAAAGGTTCAGAGGAGGGCAACAAGGATGATCTGGAGACTGGAAACAAAGCTCTATGAGGGGAGATTGAAGAACTGGGCATGTTTAGCTTGTGGAAGACTACAGGAAGATACCTATGATAGCACTCTACAAGTACTTGAAAGGTTGCCACACAGAAGAACAAGATCTCTTCTTGATTATCCCAGAGTGCAGGATGCAGGACCTAGAATAACAGGCTCAAGTTACAGGAAGCCAGACTCCAGCTGAATTATCAGGAAGAAGAGCAGGTTGCTTACCTGTAACTGATGTTCTTCAAGTGGCCATCTGTGCATTCACACATACGGGGTGCTGCGCCTGCACAGTGCCCAGGCCAAAAGATTAGAAAGCTAACGGTTTTTGGAGGGAAAAAGCTCTCCCCTCCCCCCTGCAGTATAAATTGAGCGGAGCATCCCCCATTATACTCAGTCTTGAAGACCGACATTCGCCCCCTAAAGTTCAAAAAACAGCATCACAGCAAGAAAAAAATTGGTACCGTAGGAGTAACACGGAACCGACTGTAAGAAAAAACAGTCCACTCACCGACACCGAGCGGGGCCGGCGGGTGGGTTGTGTGAATGCACAGATGGCCACTCGAAGAACATCAGTTACAGGTAAGCAACCTGCTCTTCTTTGTCGTGGCCTCTGTGCATCACACATATGGGTGATTAGCAAGCTTACCAGACTTGGAGGAGGGAAGGTGTCGTCAATGAAGAATGGCAGAGAGCACAGCTCTACCAAAGGAACAACCCCTTCTGGAGCGTACATCAAGCTGATAATGCTTGGCGAAAGTACATGGAGCAGCCCAGGTTGCAGCCTTGCAAATATCCTGAATTGGAACCCCTGCTGCAAAGGCCGACAAAGTCACTACTGCTTGTGTAGAATGCCCCCTCGGAAGCGAGGGCAAGTCAAGCTTTGCCAGTTGATATGCTAGGACTATGGTCTGCACGATCCATTTGGACAGTTGCTGAGATGAGACTGGAAAACCCTTGTCAGGAGCAGCATACTTGACAAAAGGTCTTCTTCGTTTAAGAAGACCTTGGCTAGGTCTGCCAGCTGGTCCGGGAGGGAGGAGACGACGTTTTCCAGCTTCTGCATAATGAAGTACTGGTAACGTGCCAGTGTAGCCTCATAATTTGAAATACGCAAACCGAGTCCTGCAGCCGCATAGACCCGGCGCGCAATCATGTCGACCTTCCTCCCTTCCTTATCTCAAGGTGTTGTATGTTCCTGAGCCTCCCTGCCCTGGGACGACTCGACCACCACCGAATTAGGCTTCGGGTGGTGCAGCAGGAACGGGATGTCGTCTTCTCGGACCCGGTACATAGATTCGTACCGGTGAGACGTCACCTGTGACTGAGCCAGTTGGTCCCAGGGCTGAACCATTGCCTGGCAAAGTGTGGTAATGAACAGCAAGGCAACGGTGGCAGATTGCTCCCCTCGGACGATGTCGTAAAACTGGTCTGTGCTGGGCCCGGGGCGGTGGTAGGCCTCTATCTCCAGCAACCGGTCTAGGCGAGAAACCAGCTCCGAAAAAGAAACATGGGGCTCATCCAGGGATCCCGGGTCTTGGGAAGTAATAGCCACGTCCGGAGACGTGGAGTCTACTTCCGACTCGTCCGAGTCTTGATGGTAGCGGTAATGCCCACTGGACGAATTGCTTTCAGGAGACGGAGGAGGTCTGCGTTCCGTACGGCCAGAAGTGGACGGTGCCTCTCTCGGGACTGATGGCGAGCGATGGTCCGGAGGAAAAAAGGCATATGGATGGAGTCCACTCCAGACAGGATAGCCACCATAGCCGTGCATAGCACAGTCATCTGCATGGCGCTCCGACGAACGGCTCCTACGCCTAGGAGAGCCTGGTCTCTCAAGTGGCCCAACAGCAGGCATTGGCGTCGGGGAGCGTTGCCTCGGTGGGGAATCTCTAATTTCTCCATCAGAGATGGACTCCCTGAGTGGTGGCTCCTGTGGAGGAGACACACTCTCAGGCGAAGAACAGGCCTGGGGGATCCCGGCGGCGTCACCTGCATAGCCGACTGCAGGGCCGGTCCCGAGGGAGTTGGTACTGTGGCAGCTGTCGGTACCAAGAACCCCAACGAACCCAAGCCTTGGTGTTTGGGGCGATTGGGTTTCTTGCCCTTGTGGGCTGCCTTAGCCACCTTTTTCTTCCTCGGCTTCTTATGGCCGGAGGGCCTTTCCAGCTCTGAATGCTTACACTTCTCCTTTTGTTTGGTTGGAGGAGAAGGTAGCTGTTGCGCTTCCGTTGGAGCAGTGCCTTCATCCGAAGGGAGCTGTGGCGGCGCAACCGAAGTTGAGGTGGGGCACTTAGGGGGCGCAGCCAGGGTAGAGGTGGAGCGCTGAGGCGGCGCAGCTGAGGAGAGGGTAGGCCTTGAGACCAGCTGGTCAGATCGAAGCAAGGCCTGGTCCCAAAGTAACTTGTGGAGATGATTCTCCCTATTCTTCCTGGCCTGTTTGGTAAAGGCCAGGCAATGCCCGCACTTGTCGGTCCTATGCCCCTCGCCAAGGCAGAGGAGGCATAAGTCGCGTGGGTTGGCGGGAGACATTTTGGAGCCGCACTCACTGCACTTGCGGAATGCCGCCCGCTGTGCCATCACGAAAAGGAAAAAAGAGATGATAGTACAGAGGGTAAGTAATATTTTTGGGTTTTTTTTTTTAGGAAAAAGAATGAACAGAGGAACTACAACAAGGGAAGGAGAAACTGGGATATATAACAAGGAAAAGGTAAGTTGAGTAAGATAACCATAAAGGAGCATGTGGTGAGATCTAAGCGAGAGACGAACAGGCACGAGGCACAGCGAACGGCAGTCGCAGAGACTGAGCAAAATGGCGGACGCTCCGCTCTATTTATACTGTAGGGGCAGGGAGCAGAGCTTTTTCCCACCAAAAACAGTTAGCTTTCTAATCTTCTGGCCTAGGCACTGTGCAGGCGCAGCACCCATATGTGTGATGCACAGAGGCCACGACGAAGAACTTCCTGTTAGAGCAGTATGGCAATGAAACTAATTACCTTACCTAGGGAGGTGCTGGGCTCTCCCACACCTGAGGCATTCAAGATGCAGCTGGATAGCCCTCTGAAAGGGATGGTTTAACTGGGAGCACTGGGTTGGACCCAATGCCTTCTGGCTCCTTTCAACTCTACTATGACTCAATACAATTTAAGTTAATGGTTGTACCCCACTGGATGCTAGTTTGTGGTTCAGAATATGTATTTTTTTCTATTCGTGATAAAATTTAAAGTCTGAGAGTCCTGCCAGAACTCAAATTCTTCTGAAGAGCCCAGAATGGATGTCTGTACTGGTATTTGGAGGCCAACTGGCACATTAGTGAATGCCTCTCTGCTTGAGCTAAAGCCTCCCACAAGCTGTTAATGCGCTTTTCTATCAAGTTGCCCAGCACTTTCTCTGTTGCCACGATAGAATTTTCTTCCCTCATCAGGACACATCCTTGGGACAGCGCATGGTTGTGATAGCAACACTGGCAAGTTCAACAACTTGCAAAGGGGATTAGTCCCGTTCATGGAAGGCTAGTCCCTCCACAACTCTTAGCCCTTCTCTCCAGAGTCAGCATTAATCAATCCTATCCCACCTTTTTACCAAAAAAGGGCACTCAAGGCAGCTAACAATCCAATCCAAACTCAAAACAAAATCTTCATGAAAGCATGGCATAAACAGCATGATGCCCAAAGACTGCCTGAATACCAATACGATTTGCTGGTCAGCAGAGGGAGACGTCTCTCACATCTCCACCCAAGGAGCTTCTAATAGTGGCAGTACCAGGGGAAGGGCCTCCCCAAAGATCTTAAAACTCAGGCAAGCTCCTATGGCCTTCCAGGAAACCTGACTATAGTCTTTCAGGCAACTTCATAGTTCAGAAAATATACCAGCATGTCCAGGTGCTAGGAAACAAATAAGGAAGGACTGCAATGCTCAGACCCCAGTTTTGGGGAATGAGAAAGATAGCTGCTTTGGGAGCACATTCTCCAAGGCTGCTGGCTGGTCTTCAGGAGAATCAGAAGAAGGGGGAGAGGCCCAGGAGGAGGCCTGGAAATGGAGGCCATGCTGAGACGCTAACATGAGAGAGGCAAGGATGCTTATCTCAAGGCCAAACTCACCAGGTGGGCAGGCAGTCTCTGGGAACAACCAAGATGTAGAGCTGGCAGGAGAGAACTCGGAGCAGGGGAGTTTCTCCGACACAGATGAGGGGGCCATGGCCATGGCTATTGAACCCCTGAAGGAGGGTGGCCCAATTAGAGGACTGGTGTGCAGTGAGGATGTGTGCTCATTTTCAGAAGACTGTGCCTGAAGGGATGGGGACCAGACATGCTCATAAGGAGTGTTCGTGGAGGTGAATACCAGATTGAGTTCAACAAACCACTCTGTGCATACTCAAGAGATTCATTCTGGGTGCTTGTGTGCTTTGGACAACAAATAACACTTTGCAAGAAAAGGTCTGTGGCTTTGAATGCACGGAGGAGGAACCCCAGCTCCCAACACTACTAGTGCTAGCTGCCCCAGTATACCAGACTAATAGGTGCTCTCCAAAAATATGGCCATAGCTGCAGAGATCAATGCAAATGAACATAGGCTCATCCAACATTCTGTTCACACAGTGGCAATCCAGCTGCCTACTGGATCCCACAAGTACACTATGAGTTCAACAGCATTGCCAGCTTTCCATGGCTTAAACACCCCTAGCAAGCGAGGGCTTCCACCACCCAAGGCAATCTGCCCCACAATGCACACTTTCTGCTTCCTTGCCATTTCCTGCCATTAATTCTAGTTCTGTCTTCCGGAACAAAGAGAACAGGTTTGCTCTGGGGGTGTGTGACATACAAGACTCCAATAATGCCTCCTCTACATTTTCTCTTTTCCAGGTTAAACATACCCACTTAGTTCAACTGTTCCTTGCTGGATTCCATTGCCAGACCCTTTGTCATCCTGGCTTTTCTTCTCTGTGCATCACCCAGTTTGTTAATGTCTTTCTTAAAATGTGGTATCCAGAATTGGACACAGTCCTCTAAAGTGCACCAATTGGAGTCATGGGGGCAGTTTAAGCATGGAGGTGTTTAGACTAGCATGGTCAGTGTGAGCAAGGATAGAGGACAAATTCAGTCAGTTCACATTATAATGTACTTAATTTTGCACTTTCAAAACTATATGTGAACTGAAACTCATGTTATCCTTTGAAATCCACACTTCATGTTTTGCAAGAATTCTCCAGTCAAAAAACTGCACACACAATCCATATATTAGCAAAATTAATATTCAGATTAAGACAACGGCTTGCAAAAATTAATTGTAACAGGAAAAACTGTATGCAAAATGCACATATTGGTCAAAGTGCATACAAAATTTGTATGTACAACAGTCTATTTAGGCAAATGAAGAAATCTCAAATTGAATTTAAGATTAGAAAAATAAGATTCATCCAGTTTTAGTGATGATGGAAAAGCAGCCTATACATGCTCAGGAACAGTATGAGCGGTACCTCCCATTTTCTGATAGTCCTACTAGGACCTGGGGCTAAGCAATACAACTCCTAGTCATGCTGTCTTCCCCCAAATATTATACAGCAACCCAAAAACCCATCATCTGTTCTTTATCTTTAGGCTGTCCCTTCTCCCACTCACCTCCGTCACTCTCGGTGCCCCCCATGCCAATGGTGCCCCCGGTGTTGAGCACCAGCACTCGAGCTCTCGCCTCATCCCTGAGAGGCCAGGCCTCTGGAGAGCCCCACAAGCTCTCGTGGCTTAGGGAAGAGCTTCTCAGTCGCTGAAGCCGGGAGCTGGGAGACGCAGCTGCCATCTTTCTATCCACCGTCGTGTCTGGCAGGCACCACGAGCTTCGCTGCCCTTGGCACTTTCCTTCCCGAAGCCTCAGTTGTAATGTCTGCCTGCCTTCTATTTTTACCCCAAGCACGTGCATCTTCCTTGACATTTGTGCTTCTGCTGCGTCAACTCCTCGGTGACGTTGCAAATCATACATGCTCACAAATTCTCAAGCGGCACAGAGGCTGCAGCATTAAAACCACCAGAGGGAAAGCCTTAACAAAGCGTTCACCTGCTTCAAACTTGGCAGGATCTTCTTCAAGACAAATGTAAAAAACCGTTTGCCTCTCCCTGCTGCAACATGGAAATGAATGATTTCTAAAGTACAGTTTATATGGTGTGTTACATCACAGTATAACATTTACTCTATCATAAACACTGATTCAAACCTTGGGTCTTTTTTAAGTTACTTCTTTTAAAAAATTAACACATTTCTCATCTGCTGCTGTTTGAGCCTTTCTACAAAAATACTTCAGGCTTCTGCAACAGTCCAGTTTCTTCCCCCTTTCTGATTCTGTGCCGTGTAACTGAGTGAAGATTTCTGGAAAACCAGCAAGCTTGCATGTTTGGGGATTTGGGGTGTTTTCCATGCTCATCTGGCAATGTTTGCTTTTTCACCACCCTTCTTGATTCTTTTTGCTATTGTAACAGAGGTACAGGCTGTACCATGTTCTGCAACATGCCAGCAACAAGATCTGTAAATAAAGTTCAAACGCAAATGAAAAGCACAGTCCACCAGGTGGAAGCAGCTCCACAGAAATAAAGGATGTTTCCACTTTTCCACCCTGGCTATAGAGGAGAACTATGGGGGCCAGGATTCAGTGGCATGAATGCAAAAGAATGCCAGGCAACCCAAGTTTACAACACCTTCCAGAGGAAAAGCCACTTAACAGAATAAAAAAACAACTATTGGATGCATTTAACAGGGAAGCAAAAGCAGGGGAGGCCACAAGGAAAATCAGATGCAACACTTTGTTTTCAGTCAGTCGGCATTCTGCAGCCACCAGTTCCTCACAGGGTGAGCTTTTTTCCTGCTTTGTGTGGTAGGGGCGGGCAGTCCCTTCCAGCTACAGCAATTACAGTCCAGGCTCAAGGCTCTTACTCCGAAATGGGGACCGAAAGGATTGCAGAAGATGGTGGTACTTCCAGATGGGAGCTTCTAGCACTGTATCTAGTCACTGCGATAAGCTACATGTGAAATTGCAACAGCCGTTCCACAATTTGGCCCTTCTGCTTGTGCAACATGTGCTCTGTTCTCACAATTTCTTGTTGCTATTCTTGTTGACATGATTATTTTCCTCTTGCAAGGAACCCAAGGCAACTTGCATGGTTCTCCACACAACTTTGTGAGGTAGGTCATTGCTGACAGTGGGCAATCTAAATTCATCCATAGAAACAGAGTGAGTCAGAAGGGGCCTCCTGGGTCATCTAGTCTGACCCCCGGCTCCAGCCGGCTCTGCTCATGACATGCCCACCATGCGCCTGTCTAGCCTATCCTTGACACCCTCACCATACCCTTGAGGTCATAACTGTCAGGAAGTACTTCCTGGCATCCAAATTAAACCTTGGTTCCAAGTGGCCTAGAACCTGAGTCTTCCAAGTCCCAGTCCAACACTCTGACCACTACCCCACAATGGCCATGGGTGTGACACGGTGGTGTCCCTATGGACAAGGAAGTGACAATGCATCCAAGCCAAGCAAGATGTGACATGTGTTACTGGCTGGTGTCTTCAATAAATGCATGCACACTGCAAGCAACAGGTGGGGATTGTGGATAATCGTCAGGACCGCAACACATGGATGCAGGCTAACTTCTCCCTCCCTGCTGTGGTCCCAGTCAAAATCATACCGCATCATGCCAGGAGCGAAGGCCTAGCAATGGTTGGGCAACATGTTTCATGACACAGGGACAACTCTTCTGCAACATCGTCCTCAATGAAAGCTTACCTTTGGAAATGTACCTGTGTTGTAGCATGGAACTGGTAATTGCATATGAGCAGAGTCCACATTCTTCAAGTTCCAGCTCAAAACTCTTTTCCTTTCACGTCCAAATTCGAATGTTATTTTGTGGTGGGAATTTGTATGCAATTTATAGTGTCTTCCCAAATATATGCAGTGACTGAGTGCATCTTTAAATGTACACATCTTTTTGGATTAGTGCATGTTTTTGCACATTTTAAAAAAGTAAATGTATACTACTGAATTCATTTTATTTCACAAATTACACTGCAAGTTTGGAACTGTAGAGATTTCAACATGGGAAGTCTGAACTGGGTAAATCCTGATCAAAAACAAATAGATTGCTTATACATCTCTAGCCACTGGTGGGGATTTTGCTGTTAGCTTCAGGTTAAACCTGGAGGTGTCCTTCTATGAGAAGCACTTTGTCCAACTAGGTGTTAAGTTCCTTGCATGAGCAAAAAGAATGAAAATCCAGTGAAGTGCTGCTGTTAATACAATCTCTTGTACCATCTATTAGGATATGCTTGAGCCATCTTTGTCCAGCTCTTGTGATTGCGTAATACCGTTGCTGCTAAAGTATCTTTCATGTCTTGGTAAACCAAGACATGTTGCTGCTTGAAGCGAAGGACAAGATGGTTCCCCCTTCCATTCCATATGGAAAAGCCAACTAGACCGGTAGCCTTCCTTCCACTCTGGTGATGAGATGGCATCTTCCACTGCTTCTCAAGTCAGAGAGATAAGTTGGAGAAATGCATGACAATTTGCTGCTGCCGTCTAGCACTTCATGCCTGAGCCAATTGCTTCAACTCTGTCCAACAGCAGGACCAGCCCTGCTATTGGTACATCTTTATATTTGTTGTTTAGTCACAAAGTCGTGTCCAACCCCTCATGACCTCATGCACAACATTCTTCCAGGCTCTCCTGTCCTCCACCATCCCCCAGAGTCCACCCAATCCCACATGCACTGCCCCAGTGACTCCATCTATCCACCTCATCCTCTGTCGTCCTTTTCTCCTTTTGCTGTCAATTGTTCCCAGCATTAGGGTCTTCTCCAGTGAGTTGTCCCTTCTCATTAGGTGAACAAAGTATTGAGTTTCATCTTCAGTATCTGGCCTTCTAAAAAAACAGGGTTGATTTCCTTTAAGAATGACTGATTTGATTTCTTTGCAGTCCAAGGGACTCTTGTGAGTTTGAGATAAATTGCTCAAAAACTAATTTTTTTTCAAAAAAAGGACGGGAAAAAGAGTAATAGTTTTGACTTGATCAATTCCTTTTTGCTATTATTTTGCAATATATACTCAAAGTTTTAGAAAGGCAGGGAATCCACTATGTATTAATGCCTGAAAACTTTATTTTTTTCAACTAGAATTTTAGCATAGAGCTAATAACAGAAACAAATATTAAACATACTCCACTTTCCAGTGCACTTTAAGCTAAATGTAAAAACAAACATTATCTTCTTATGTGACTGCTGTGAATGATAATGAAAGAATTAAACTGAAGCGGTTGAATCATTTTTTTTCACTTGGTTCTTAGAAGAAATTAGCTCACCTTAAGTCAAACTGACAAAACTATCTGTTGTAATATTTTGAACCATAAAGGTACCTTATGTGTTTCCTTAAACCCATTCAGGAAAAACACCAGGATCTTATTTACTTGCATGCCTAGTATGTATACAGCTAATCCATAGGAAAGGAAAGTCACTTTCCCTTTAGGGCTTGTCCCCAACCGATCTCTGAATCCTACAAATCCTGAACCCACCATTCCTCCACCTTACCCAACTCCAGCCCATTCCGGCCTCTCCGTACATTGGACAAAATTCTAAAGACTCTTAACTACATGGGAGAAGGTGTGTGAGCACAGCTCTCTGCCTTTTTGGATCTTTGCCCAAGATGCAGAGGTCTGTGGGGCTACTACCAGGTAATACAATGTTAGGTGCAAAGGTGCTACACATTAGCCTTCTCCAAACTGGCACTGTCCAGATCTGTTGGACTACAACTCCCAGCATCCCTCAGCCAGCATCTGGCAGGCCCCAGGTTGGAGAAGTCTATATTAGCCCTTCACATGGCTAACATGTGACTTACATTCAAATAAATCCAAATGGAAATTATGCATATGATTTAAGCTTCAAGGAGTCACTTAGGAAAACGTAACATAATAAAATTGAGAACTTCACTTTTTCTGTTCTCCCGAAAACAGCTAACATGCTGATCCTAAATACACTTATTTGTAAATAAAGTCCATCAGTTATAATGGGACTTCCTTCCAGCAAGCTGCTGAACATCGGAACCTTCAGGCATTTAGCAACACCAACTTATGCAGCTGGTACAGGGAAACAATTCGTTCTTGTTCATTCTTGCCTCCAGACTGGTCTATAATATGCGCTGACTTCCACTAACAAGGAGAAAAAGGAGAGAAATTACTAAATACATGAGTAACACCCTGCATAAAAAATTCCTACCTTAGTACAAGGAAGTAGTGAGGGCTTGAAACAGGTGGGAAAGAAACAGTCTGCAAGTTGGGCAGGGGCTGGAACTCAAGGGCAAGGAAGATGTTCTTCTTGATTCCCGCTACCTATTGATACGGCTTAGAAAATTCCTGCCTGCAACCTGAAGCACAGCCGGCAGTTGTGTGGCAACACTACTGTCTTGGATAGACCGATGCTCTGACTCGAATGTAAGGCCACTTCCTACGTGTGTGTGTGTGTGTGTCCTTCCAGGTATGTGCAAGTCCCCCATGGCCATGGTTGCGTTTGCCATGGCAAAGAAAAGAAAAACGCTGTGATTTTGCCATGGCAAAATCGTGTAGTGATTTTGTAAGGAAACAAGTCACAGAATGGCTCGATGTTGTGTGAATACGTCCTACTACCTTGCTCACATGGTTCAGACTAGATGGGGAGCATAATCAGTTTCAGTTCTGCTTGCAAAACATGAGAGCATGTGCTGTTTGAGGACATCTACCGTAGATGCCTATAAAATGTGGGACATGAGTGCACAATCAATTTGCGCAACTGTCCCCAAACCAGCCCCTGAAGACTGAAAGCCTCACTTTAGTCTAGAGAGAAAAGATGCATGAATAAGGAAATCTGTGCAAATGTTGTGTTCAGCTACTGCTGGCAGGGCACAATTTTCCCATTCATGTGGAGCAAGCAGTGATTGTGAAGGCGAACATGAAGCTGGGTGCAAGAGAAGCGGTGAGACGACGCTCAGAGAATCCTGGTGATCCTGAACGTCACCCGTCTGCCCACTCTTAATGTGACTATCTCAGCAAAGTAGCAAGGCTCATCCACATAATACCAAGTTGGCATTGCATCCAAACCCAGACTATTTATCCAGCTAGCCTATTTTTTAATCTACTCTAGCCTTCCCCAACCTGCTGTCCCCCAAATATTAATAATATTTCCCATTATTCCCAGCCTGCATGCAAATACCATGCTGATTGAGGATAATGGGAGTTTCAGTTAACACATCTGGATAGTTTAAGGTTGGGGAACTTCAGTCAACTCTGACTGCAAGCAGTTTCCCAAGGTCTCAGAGTTCTTTACCATCACGTGTTTCCTGTTCCTTGAAACAGAAGAGATCGGTGACTGACCTTGGGACATCGGGAAATACATGATGCCTCTCCCTGTCACTGATGTACTGGGCCATTACCATCAAGTTCTGGGGCCTGCCTCAGACTGCACCTCTGAGGGAGGGCGAGTTGGTGGCAAGGAGGAGGGCCTTCTCAGTGGTGGCCCCCAGTTTGGAACAAGTTTCCCACTAACACCTGCCTGACACCAACTTTACTATGTTTCTTGCACCAGGTTAAGACTATCGTCTATGACAAGGCAGTTTGTTCCTGAATCTTTTCCTGGAGGAGCCAGCAACTGGGCTGGAACCTTCTGCACACAGTGCAACGACTCCACCATTGAAACCTGGACCTTCCTATGAAGCCACTGCATGCCATTTCCCGTATTGCTAGCAAATGTTCACTGGAGCTGGTTAAATGCCATGTTTCCAGTTTTGCTTGCATTGCAAATAATGTTGCTGGGTTTTACTCTCAAAACTGTTCACGCCACATTTTGGACTTTTGCATGGTTGCATGACTTGGTGTTGTTCTAAAGGGCTTCCAGTTGCTTGGACTATTGCAATGTGTTCTACATAGGGCTACCCTTGAAAACGGTCTGGACACAGAATAGAAGAGCTAGGCTGCTAACCAGGACTGACAAACAAGATCACATAATGCTAGTCCTTTACCATTTCCATTGGTTACCAATTGGTGTCTGAGCCCAATTTAAGGTGTTAACACTGACGTATAAAGCCCTAAATGGTTTAGGGCCGGGATATCTGAAGGAACATATACACCTGCCCAAACCTTCAGATCATCTGCTGAGGTTCTTCTCTGGGAGCCCCCTTTGAAAGAGGGTGAGAAGAGTGCTCCTTGGAGAAGGGCCTTCTCATTGGTAGCACCCCAGACATGGAATCTGTTTCTCAGAGAGGAGCACCTGGTGTTGACTCTTTATGGGCGCCAGGTCAAGACCTATTTATTTGCCCAAAATTTTAATGGCTGAATGTTTTTACTATATATTTCTTATACATATTGTAATTAAGGATTCAAGTGTCGTTGTGCATTGAAGTGTTCTGTTTTATTCTCTGTAAGCTGCCTAGAGATCTTGACAGTACACAACACGGGATACAAATGCTTTTTATAAATAGACAGTCAAAACTTACCTGGCTCCATTCATATGGCTTTGCATACCACACAGGAGGAATTTGTTCACGAGGTTTGGATCTGCAGATCAGACTGGAGACAGCGGAGAGGGATATTTGTAATGAAGAAAGAACATGTGTATCAATAGGACCGACATTTCTTTAAATGGAAAACTCAGTGCAACTCCCAAGTTTTCTACAGGCAGACATATTTGCAGAATGAACCCAATATAAATACCATCTGTTCCATGGCTGGGATATGATTGACTAAATGACCCATTTGACACCCCACCTCCATGGTGCTCATCCTTTCTCCTAAAAACACTTTCCTTAGCTTGGTCAATTGGACATGATGCATACCATGTTCATATGACCACAGGCTCAAGCGTGGCCTGTTAAGAAATACCTGCATCGACACAAGACCCTCCACACAGGAAAAGGGAGTACAAGAACATCCTGACCAAGGAGCTCAGTTTTCGGAGTCAGTGTGAACATCTGGATTTCGAGACCCTGTTGGGGGTGCTCTCAAAAAAAGAGTCCTGCATATTCACAAAATGGCTGATGGGCACAGCCAGTCACAAAACGCCTATTTCCCAGAAGAAAAAGCCAAGAACTCTAGCACAAGGCAGAGGTGGTGTCTGTATTCAATGATTTTTCAGCAAGTTGTCTGCTCCAACACCCATTTCACAGAAGGCAAACTGATAAAGACCAGAGACAAGTACTTTTTGGCCAAATTATAAGGCAAAGTGGAGCCTGAATCCCAAATACCAAATCACAGGTTTCTCCCACAAAGCCCAACAAAATAAGCAGGAGATGACAACCTGGAGTTGCTTAGAGAAACCAAGACAAACCTCCTCACCCCACCCAAAAAAAACCAGACAAACCATACACAAAGTCAGGGCAACAGACACACACAGCAAATCTGGACACATGTCATGTGCCATCAGTTTACCTTTTCTCTGTCTGGACACCTTCAAATGAAGCACAGGACTGCAATCACCTGACAATTTTATTTTCTAAGAATACCTCTGGAGCCCACCTGGGACTTAGAAGCATTCTAAAAAATAAAAATGGCACTTAACACTGACACTTTCCTTCAAAGCCTGCTAGCCTCCCAATTTAAAATATATAAAGTCAGGAACGGCCAAGAGCCTGGCAGATGTCAAGGGAGGGGACTGCAGGCATATTGCCCATGGGCGTAACGCTGGGGGCTGCGTGCCTAATTTTGCCATGAGAGAGAGGAAAGTTTGAGGTGCTTCTCCAAATGTCAAGATTTGCAAGGGAGAAAGGAGCTGTGGTACCCGCTGGCTGGGATGGGAAGACATACCCTGCAAGCCAGATGGAGTCAACAACTCTACCATTTCCCAAGCTAATCTTAAATCAGAAAGTCGCTCAGAGAGAAAAAAATGGCTCCCCACTGAAACATTTCCTTAAAAACAAATTCCCAAGATCAGCTGCCAACAACTACTCCCAATTGTAGGCATGTCGTCACACAATGGCAATCCTGAGGGAGTAAAGTTGTCACACCGCTCCCATGATTCAAGTGCTAACTGAACTCATTTGTTAAGCACGTTTTGACAAGACAAGCGTTTAAAACATCATAATTTACGTTCATCTCCAGTGTCAATGTTTGCATCGACTGGATGCATACACATGTGCAGGCACCCTTATCATCTGTAGATACAATCCAAACTATTTTTAGAATGTTTTGTCATGTGTGACAACTCGATTACTACAGACTCCCCGCCTGCCAACTCCTGTCTCCTTGAGCTGTGCAAAGGCAGGCCACGATGTATTTTAATTCATTCTGTCTAGACATGTTTTTCAAATACATAGTTTCCTCCTAAGTAGTGATGACATATGGTAAATACAATTAACTAACATTGCAGATGCATGAATGGCCCTGAATATATAAAGATACATTTCGGCTCTTTTACTTCTCCATGGCTGTATTACCGGTTGTGAAGCTGGTCCTTCTGTAGATTTGTGTTGCACTGCATCCCCCCATAGGATTGGGGTGGGTAACAGCATTTAAAAGCAAGTTTGTTTACAAGAAGAAAAATGCAATAACATGGGTTGGGAGGAGGGAAGGGTCACTCAGTACATTTCTGTCTAGGTGACAAGTTGACACCACTTCTAACATTGAGGATTTGTTGAGTTCTGAGCCACGAGCAACTTCTCTTTGTGAGTCTTCACTGTTAGTATTGCAAACACTGACCAAGTACTGGGACTGACCAAGAGACTGCTGAGGACCAGAGAGCCAGTCTCTGTGACAAAAAGGGCCACAGGCCTTCTAACCTAGTAGCATTTGTGTTCTCCAAATAACGCACATCCAAATATGAAGGAGAGGAACACCCTGACCAGGTCATAGGTGCCCAGGGGTACTGAACTGACTGCAGCCTGGGAACTCGAGTCAATTTCAGAAAAGCACTCGAATTGCGTTCCAGTGGTGGGCAGGCCACGATTGCCCAGCACTCAAGCAGCTCAGCAACCAGGGCTGGAGGTGGGGGGGAATTAATGCAAAGGACACAACTTAGAAGAGAATCTCTGGCTATCACCATACCGTTGAGGAATATATAGCAGCTACAGAATTCTTTGAAAAGCGCTGGATTCCTATCCCCCATTGCCTGCAGAAGCTATTGCTAGGGTTGGGTTGGACATTCTTAAATGAGCCAGATCTGAGTGGCTTCCATACAGGGTGGAGCCGGGGAGTGGAGGGGGAGACACTCACAGTCAAATCCTCCAGCCTTGACGAGTAAGGGCGACTCCGTTTTGTCCAGCATGCCTTGGAATTATGTAATGGGCATCTGGGGCAACATGAAAAGGTGGCTGTCAGCTGAACGGCAGTAGCACCCATTGCCTGAAAATGTGGCCTTGAAGGGGTGTGTGTGTGTGTGCGTTGGGATTAGCCCAGCACTACAACTAGGGAAACAACAGGTTAGGGCTGAATCTATGCAAAGACACAGAATATTAGACAACAAAGCTGTTCTCACCGCAAAATTGAACAGCATGTCCTATTGTTCAAACCGCACAATTGTTAATAATAGAAGTGAATGTAAATGTAGTAATACAGTATAGAGAAAGAAAAGTTTACCCTAAAAGCTTCTGACGAACATTATTCTGCAACTGGGAAATTCTTTCTTGACCAAAATGCAGAAAGCCATTTGGGCTGCCAGAGACCAATTTGTTAATGGCAGTCCGGAGAATGTTTATCTGTGAAGAAGAGGGTAATTTGAGAGGGACAACAGCAGAGCTGGCAACTGATTTCTAAAAATTAAGCAAATTAATGGGGTTTTAGCAAATTGAAACTTTAACAAATTAAGCAGGCTTTTAAACAAATTGCATTTACTTAATTAAATATTAAACATTTTGAAATTAAAGCTATTAAAGAAACCATCTGATCCATGTTACAAAGGTTATCAACTATTTTGAAATAATTTTACATATAATCAAAATTAAATTTGAGCATTGGCAAAAGTCTGGGTAACAGCAAAAACAGCACCAAAGGGTAAATGAGCAGGTCCTTGACTATAGTCAAATCAACATCTGAATGATATCCACATCTTAGGCCTATGATAACATGCACTTAATGAAAGCTGCCACAGTCTTAAAAAGAAAATCATTTAGAGTTTTATTTTATTCACATTGCATAGGCTTCAAAATCATCTCCACTTCATTATCCCCATGATGACTAGAAACTTAACAGATTCGCAGGATGTTAGGTTATGCACCTATGGCAGTAGTTTCCACGCTTGTTTATAGCAAATGCAGAGTTGAGAGGGATGACACTTGTGATAGACTGTTTTGACCGGGGCGGCTCAGGACTTCATGGCCTCCATGATGGCCATGGGGCTGTCTCAACATGTCACCGGCCCGACCCATGAACATGGTCACACGCTGGACCTGGTTTTCTCGATGGGGCAGGAAGAGGGTGATTTGAGGGTGAGGAATTTGCATCTGACTTCCTTGTCATGCTCAGATCACTTCCCCGTGAGGTTTGAGCTTAGAGCTGGCCTTTCCCTCTGTAAGGGTGCGGACCCTATTGTGATGGTCCGCCCTCAGAGCCAGATGGATCCGGATGGATTCCTGAGGGCTCTGGGGGATTTCCCAGTTGATAAAGCTGGCACTCCTGTTGATGCTCTGGTTGAACTGTGGAACGGGGAAATGGCCAGAGCTATTGACACGATCGCCCCTAAGCGTCCTCTCCTGCCAAGCAGAGTCCATCCATCTCCATGGTATATATCTGAATTACAGGCGATGAAGCGGGTTGGGGGACGACTGGAGCGTAGGTGGAGGAAATCACGGGATGGATCTGACTGAACACGCCTACGTGCTCATTATCGAGCCTATGCTGTGGCGGTGAGGGCGGCAAAGAAGAAATTCTTCTCCCACTTCCACTGCCTCCTCACAGTGCCGTCCAGCAGAGCTGTTTCGAGTGGTACATGGACTGATATACCCTGGCCCTAAGAAAGATCCTGTGCCACCATTGATGGCCCGCTGTGACAACTTTGCCCAGAACTTCAAGGAGAAAATCTCTCAGATTCGTCATGAGCTGGACTCCACAATTGATTCAGATCCCTTAGGGGAGACACCAATGCCTCCGTCTGGTCAGGTATTAATGGATGAATTTCAGTTAATGCAGCCCGATGATGTGGACGAGGTGCTTGGACAAATACGTCCTACCACCTGCTTACTCGACCCTTGCCTTTTGTGGCTGCTGACCAAAGCCAAACACGGGATTGGTTCCTGGATCCTGGAGGTTATTAATGCCTCTCTGAGGGACGGCTGGGTGCCCGCTCCTTTAAAGGAGGCGGTAATCAGGTATGTCCTAAAGAAGGTGCCTCTGGATCCAGAGATGGCCACCAAGTATAGATCGGTGGCCAGCATCCCGTTTTTGGGCAAGTTGTTGGAATGGGTGGTGGCGGGACAACTCCAGGTACTCTTGGATGAAGCTGATTATCTGGACCCATTTCAGTCTGGCTTCAGACCTGGATACGGTACTGAATCTGCCTTGGTCGCCCTGTATGATGACCTGTGCAGGGAGAGAGACAGGGGGAGTGCGTCCCTGTTGGTTCTCCTGGACCTCTCAGCGGCTTTCGATACCATCGACCAGGGTATCCTTCTGGATAGGCTAGCGGGATTGGGAGTAGGAGGCACTGCTTGGCAGTGGTTCCGCTCCTACCTTCCAGAAGGTGGTTCTGGGGGACTCTGGCGCCATGGCAATTCTGCCATGGAGTATTGCAGGCTTCCATTTTGTCCCCCTTGCTATTTAATATCTACATGAAACTGCTGGGAAAGGTCATCAGGAGGTTTGGGCTGCGGAGTCATCAATATGCTGATGACACCCAGCTCTACCTCTCTTTTTCAACTAACCCAGGTGAGGCAGTGGCTGTACTGAACCAGTGTCCGGCTGAGGTAATGGGCTGGATGAGGGCCAATAAACTGAAGCTCAATCCAGACAAGACGGAGGTCCTGTTGGTGGGTGATTCGAGCTCCTGGGTAGGGGACTTGGGCCTTGCCCTGAACGGGGTTGCACTCCCTCTAAAGGACAGGGTCCACAGCTTGGGATTGCTCCTCAACCCGGAGCTGTCTTTGGAAGCTCAAGTGACGGCGGTGGCAAGGAGCGCTTTCCTTCAGCTTCAGCTAATCTATCAGCAGCTACCTAGAGGAGGATTGTCTAGCAACAGGAACACACACATTGATTACTTCCCGGTTGGATTTCTGTAACGCGCTTTCCGTGGGAGCTGCCCTTGAAGACAGTTTGGATACTTCAGATGGTTCAAAATAGAGCTGCCAGGATGCTGTTGGGGACTGGGCGTTATTCTCATATAACCCCAGTCCTCTATCAGCTCCATTGGCTTCCCATCGAAGTCTGGGCTCAATTCAAGGTGCTGGTTATTACCTATAAAGCCCTAAAAGGCTTGGAACCAGGATACCTAAAGGAACACCTTTTTCCCTATTTGCCCTCCCGCCCCTTGAGATCGGTAACAGAAGCCTCCTCCAGGAACCCTCTTTGAAAGGGGCAAGAGTACAGAGTACCCAGAAGAGGGTCTTCTCTGCAGTGGCGCCCCAACTATGGAATGCGCTCCCCAGAGAGGTCCGCCTGGCGCCGTCATTATGTTTTTCGGCACCAGGTTAAGACCTTTTTATTTAATCAATATTTTAATATGTTTTAATATTGTATTTTATTGTTGTATTTTATTAATTTGCAGCCAGAGTGGGTCAATTTACTTATGTTGTAAGCAGTCCAGAGACGCAAGTAACTGGACAGCATACAAATTTTATAAATAAATAAATAAATAAATACATACATACATACATACATACATACATACATACATAGACGGTCTACCAAGCTACTATGTCAATTCTGAATTCTAAATAAAACTGGTTTGTCATAATCCCCAAAGAACCATTCTTGCCATCTGTCATTCTATGTGTATCCGGGGGGGGGGGGGGGCAGTAGGACAACTTGCTAAATGGTTATTTGCCTGTGGCAAGTACAGATTGGGTCCTGACAACCTGATGGAGAAATTTTTGAACGCTGTAAAAGCTGCTGGTTTTCCCCTTTCAGGTAAGTTGCACAGATAGCTATGGTGTGTTTTTACTCATCTTTGCTGGGCTAACTTGCAAGGCTGGACTAATGATGAGAAAACTACCGATTTCTGGATCAGTTGAGGAAAGACAAGACAGTTCCATTTGTTTCAAAGAGGCTTTACCCTGCAGTGTTGGGGTGTTCTAACAGGGACGAGGCCCATTCAGACTCAACCTGGGAAACACAGGATGGAGCTGCAGGGGCCTAAATACAGGACGTCTAACCATTTGGCACAGTTATAGAAGGAGATCCCAAGTGTTGTGCGCGCGGACTCAGAGGAGTCCTTGGTGCAGGCACAAGAGGAGAAAACTTCCCATGAGAGCCAGAGGGCTGATGGAGATATATTTCTGGTTTCAGCAGAACAAGCTTTACTCCTCAGCTGCACAGATGATGGGAACGGAAGTACAGGAGATAAGGAAATTCAGGGAGGTGTCAAAACAGAAGAGGATACAGAGACCAATTCGGGTGTTGATGAGGAAACAATTGCACCAGGTGACGGCATGATATGGGAAGTTAGGAGATAACGTAGATGTAGCTGTTGAGGATGCTCATTCCTGCAGATGCAGGCACAGGTTGGGACAATTAGAATTGGGATTGATTGAGTGACACAGGGAAAGGAGTCATAGTGTCCCGCCTCTTGAAGGACGGCCCAGAAGGATTCAAAAATACAGTGTAAGCTGAACTTAATTAGAACGAGAGGACAACTTCCTAGCTTATGTGACTGTAATTGTAATTCTGTGTAGAATAAAGACTTCTGTAGCCTAGACTGGAGTGATTGCTTTCGTTGGGAAGGAGTGCCAGCCACAGGACAGCAAGAATGGATCTTTCCCGACTTCATGCACTGCCTTCTTTTCCATATTAGATTTTCCTCTCCAAAAGCATAGTCTTCTTTTTAGGTGGGTGAGCATGTGGAGCTCCCCTCTGCCCAACATGTTGGCAAAGGAGTGCAAACACATCTCTCCTGGTTATGGAAATTGTGAAATGCTCAGAGATCTTTGGCTATTGGGCAGTATGGTAATGAAAAATCATTATTTTATTATTATGAATATAGTATTAGTATTGATGAAGATATTGTTGATGATGGAGAAAGGGACCAAAGGAGGAACAGAGCACTGTTTCTCCTTTGCCCATCCACTTCTAGCCTGCTATACCCTAGGTAAGATAGCCTAAGGTAAGGTAAGCAGGTAAGTAGACTTTTATAAAACAGACTAAGACTTGGTTCATCTTATTCCTTGTTACTGAGCTTGTTCCCACAGTACAAGAGTTCATTTACTGTAGTTGAACTAGTGATAGCCAATAAAGGTCTCATCAGAAATAAATTCAACTGAACTCATTGACACTCACAGCTAAATAGCTAGAATACTGCAGCTGCTCTTTCCAACTCTGGGAACTCCAAGGCTGTTTACACCAAATACTAACACATGACACAGGGACAAAGCACAAAATTGCTTTGTTAAGTGCTTTTCTTTTACAAAAATCAAAACCAAAACAGTGTCTGTCTTAATAGTTGTTTTGAACAACAGCGTAATTACAGCTTGTCAGACCTGGCTGTACAGGACAGCTTTTACCTGCTGTCTAAAAACAGTCAACAGGTACCCTGCACACAGGAAAATGAACACAGCAGGTGGAAGGTCCTTATTCCTCTTTTCCATCAGTTTCTGCTTGCAAGGCATTGCTGGCATAAGGAAAACATTCAAAAAGGCCCGAGCAAGACTACTCAACCACTGCAGCTCTCAGCCCACTTCATCCTGCTGTGCCCAAAATTTCAGAAAATCACCAAAGGCTGGGATAGTCGTCCATATTAAGAAGGGTTCCCACTACAGGACGTGTTGCTACGGCAGTGAGAACCAGACGAGCTGCAAGACTCGTTTTCAGAAGGGCGAAGAGAGGCAGAGCTTGTAGAAAGGAGCACCACTGAGCTATTAAATTGCACAAAAGGCCATTGTTTGCTTTTGGGGTTACTTTTGGAACCACAAGCTTCTGCTGTGAGGGCAATCATCTCCGCTTGTGGTCAGGCATGTCCTGGCCATTTCTCTCCCCTTCTTTCCAGCCAGACCAGAACAATGGCTTTTTAACTAAAAGTGACTGTAATGTGGACCAGCTCCTCAGGACCCAGGGAGCAAGGGAGGTCTTAACTCTGCAATAAATTAAACCCAGGTGCCAGCACAACAGGAATCTGGCACCCAAGGTCTTCGGAGGCATCCTCTTCCCTTTGTGATGTATTTTGGGAATCAACAATTATGGCCTCAAAGAGGATAGAGATAACAGTAATGACTGGCTGGTGATGGACACCTGGCTTAAATGGCTGCCCCCAGGCCTAGGAGATAGGCCACGCCCTATGGGCCAGCGTGCCAGTGTTGGGGAGCAGGGAATACAGGCCCGTAAGGAAAGAAGGCCTTTGTTCCTCTTTTGGGAGGCTCCACTCTGCTGCCTGGTCACTGTGACAAAAGAATGCTGTGAAGCTCTGTGCTTCCCAGAAGGTAGACTTTGGCCTATAGCTAAGAATAGGGTTAGCTTTGCTGTTTTCTAGTCCAAGTGAGCTAAGAAAGCCCTGGGAGTTAAGGATCCTCAGTTGGCTGTGACCTGTACTGTTGCTGCAGTTCAACTTCCCCTTTCATCCCTTTCAGACTGTAAGTTTTAGCACGCTTCTTTTAAATACACATGTCTGGTCCCAGAGTGACAGACCGGGGAACTACTGGAGAGGATTTTGCCCAGTTGGCCAGGGAATGGGGAATTCCTGATGGCTTTCCATTACGCTGACTAGCTGGTGTAGTACAACAGAAAAGTGTTGCAGAATTTACTACCATAGAAACAAAGAAAGTTAGGATAGAGGCCATCAGGGAAATGTGGCTTAATGGTAAAAAGCTGATTCCAAATAAAACACAATGCTTTCCTTCCAAACTGAAAAGGAAAAAAAAGCAAACCTTCAGGATGGGTCCTCCCACTTAAGGGCATCACTTGGAGATTCTGAAACTTCTCAGCCAGTTGGCCATCTTAATCTGATGCCATATTCTCAGATTAATGTTAGGTCTGCCGTCCTCCTAATTAACATGCTCACTAAACTTTCCACAGAACTTGAAACTATCCAATTCTCAGTGATTGCCTGGCTTTTCTTTGGGTCCACCAGCCTTGGTATTTCTGGCCCCTCCACTTTGACTGACTCAGAATCTGACTCTACAACCATTGACATTTCTTTTACATGAGAAAAGGTCCTTCTCTACACAGCAGCCCAAGGTGTGTAATTTCTGATTTTCAAGTTAAGACCAGTCAATCTCACTGCAATGAAACTAGGCAACTTTCTTAGTTCTGATTCACTTTCCAAGGAACCCGAGGGGCGTTCTTTCCAGCCACTGGTTGTTCTAAAGCTCATGCGTGCTTTACCTGTGTTATGTCGTCCACATCTATCTGCACATCAAATGCGAGCTCCATGTCATGGTCCTGAAGGACTGGTGTTCCCAGATCATGGTTCCATCCCAAACCACAAAGGACTCCAATGTACCTCCTCCTGCTTTCGTCTACCCTGAAGAGAGCGACAAGTTTTGAATGGCCAAGTTTAAGAAAAACTTATTATCTTTGTCTAAAATAATGGGAGACCAGACATTCGTAGACATAACTGGTCTGCATGCTAAGCATTCCTTCCTGAGTTGATTGACTGATTGCATTTGTATGCTGCTGCATAGCCAGAAGGCTCTCTGGGAGGCTTACAGTGCGGACACAGCGATAATGCAGATAAAAATAGATGACAAAAAAGGCTAAAACCATGAAACAAGTAGAATAAAAATACAATATAAAAACAACTGGAAGGTACAGTATAATCAATAAAACAACTAACCATTAAAACAATAAACCAGCAGCAAGACCGATAATCATCATCTAAAAACATCATCTAAATTAAAAAAAAAAAAAAAAGGGCATGTGGGGAGTGGCACCCAATCCAGGGGAGGATCTCAAGGATTAAAGGGGAAGAGAATGTAATTGCCGTCAATGCTATTTCAGGTCTTATCACTGCAAAACAGAGATGCAATCTCCATCCCTAAATGAAATCAGAGTTTCACAGGATACTGAACTTTCATGATCCATTTCTGCACTTGACTTTGACGAATTCTAAAATTCTGCATCACTAAATAAGCATTCAGCCTTAAGAATAAACCAGGGTTTAACACTGTGGATTACACAAAAAATAAGCAAATTTTGTGGAGTCTTTCAACACCATAAATCGGAAGGGAAACTAGACTTATGGAAGGCTGAGGAAAAGCACAGCAGTTGCCATCTGTGGGGGGATAATAAAAAAAGCTCCATGCAGACATTTTTACAACCAATTTCTAGCTTTTTGCTGAGAAGTGAGCACATACCTCAGGTCTATCACAGGAGCAAACAGCATGCTAAGTAATGCTGGAAGACCCGGAATATGAGGCATGAGCGACGTCTCCTTTAGCAAAATTGTAGATCCTGTTGTCATCAAAGAAATAATGGGACTTTTAAAAGGACATGATCATCTCACAAACGTAAGCTACAATGGTTGACAGTATGACAGGGCCGGTACAAAGGGCTGCAACTGTGTGCTACATAACCTGTTGTGTTTACTGTTATGGAGGCAGCAACCAGTATCTGTTGAAAGGAATCCTCTGGAGCATCAGCAATAACAACGGAGTTTACGCTCTCCTTATCCACCAACACAGCTCTAGAGGAGGAGGAGGAGGAGAAAGAATCAGACCATTTCACAGCTTATACAGCTGCTTTACAGGAAATCCCTAATATGAAGCAGAAGAAACCCAAAAAGCTGCATTTAATGTTAGTCCTACTTAGAGCAGAGGCATGAAAATGAAAGGAGCTTAAGTTAGACGGACAGTAGATACAACCTCAAGGTGCCAACATTTCACTGACCAAATGGTTAATGGTACAGTCTTATGTAAGCTTAGGCAGAAAAATGGCCTGCAGCTCCTGGCACACCAAATCAGGGGTACCCTCCAGATGGTTTGAACTACAGCTCCCATAATCCCTGACCATCTGCTGTGTCCACAATGATTTCCAGAAAGGTTAAAAGCACTCAAAAGACTAAAATGTTATAGAATCTGTTCATAATATAAAATAAAACAATTTAAAAGAATCCAGTGCAAAACATCCGGAAGACATCAGATTACCTACCCTTGATATCAATTACTAAAAATGAGGCAACTTTTTCCTTTTTCTTTTGCAAAAACTATTGCATATACAAGCATTGACAAATCTATCTCTGTGCATGCGTGCGTGTGTGCGTGCGCGCACATCCACTGCTGGCGAGAATTGTCTTAGAAGAGGTATTCCCCCATTTCTGTCACAGAGAATGGAATACCTATTCCACCAAGATACACCTGCAATGATACCTGTGTGCAAAGGTCTTCAGATCGCTTCAGCAGTGTGCAGATTAATGCAGACCTGACCCATTAATCCAATAGAACTTGCATGAGGCCTTAAGTTCTCTCTCATTTTCATAATGGAACAGCCATGTCCCAGGAGAAAGTCAATGCTGCCCTTGGCTTTGCGCGGTGAGGAGCCAAGCTCAGTTAGGATTGACAGGGGGACCTTTCAGCACGAGTTCTGCCACCTGAGATACCAGATCAGACCAACGGTCCATCTAGACTGGCATCTTGCTCCCTGAAATGGGCAACCAGCTCTCTTAAAGCAGTGGCCTCAAACCCTTTCAAGTTGTTGGCACTCTCAAGAAATGGGTGCCATGCAGGGAGCGCCTCATTCAGAAAAATGGGTGCCATGGTGGATGCTACCAGACACAAAAGGCACACTGGTAAAACCAAAAGAGAAAGTAGCAGCCATCTCAGAGAAAGCAAAATAATGAGGCGCCAAGATAAGGAACCTGGCCGACAAGGCAGAATTGAGGGGGGAAATCACATATTTGTGCCCTCAAAGCATGGCTAAACACCAGTTTCAGAAAAGGCAGACTGGTGATGCTCAGAGAATCAAAAGAGAGCCAGTGGGGTGTAGTGGTTAAGAGCAGGGGACTGGGACTCAGGCGACCTGGGTTCGAGTCCCCGCTCAGCCATGGAGCCAACTGGGTGACTTTGGGCCAGTCACAGACTCTCAGCCCAACCTACCTCACAGGGCTGTTGTTGTGGGGATAAGATGGAGGAGGAGATATAAGCTGCCTTGAGCCCTTTGTAGGAAAAAGTCAGGATATAAATTAAAAAAAAAAAAAAGCATCCAAAAGGCACCCCCCACCCCGAGTTTTATTTCTTATAAATATCTTTGGGGTTTAGAGGCAGTCTTCAAATGAACAGCCAAAAATTCACTTTGTAGTATACTAGCCTCCCAGCCATAACATTTTAGAAGTAAAAATGTACTTTTAAATAGAATACAGATCGGGAGAGGTGCCACAAGAATCGTCTATGGGTACATTGGTGCCCACGGGGGCCATATTGCAGGCCCTAGTTTTGGAGGCGCCCATAAACCAGGCACGAAGGGGGTTGTGCTGCTCACAAGCTCTGGAATGCAGCCTCCTACCTGAACTTGGAGCCTCGCGTCATACTGCTGAATTTCAAACAGTAGGGATTGTACGGACCAGTCAGGGTTGCCTTTGAGGAAAAAAGGAGAGTACATCACGCAACGTGCCAATCAGATAGCTCTGGAATTGCGACTCATAAAAGGGCAAAATTCCACATCACATGAGAGGAAGGCAAGATCCTACAGTAGCTCCTTTCCCTTCCCCCCTCCACCCCCCAGCCCCCTAACCTCTCCAGTGGGAGGGAGAGCCACCAGAAATTAGGCATGGGAATCTTACACCACTCATGCAAGGGACACTGTCCTGTCCACCTTCCATGACCACCCAGAACACTGATCACAGTGTTTGGGAGCTGCCCCTCAACCATCTGGAGTTGCTTTTCAGCAGATACAAGGAGCAGGGGAAAGGGAAATCTAAGATGTGAACCTGCTTTTCATTTGCACAAAGCCATGTCTGAGGGCAGAGAGACAGCCAGAAGAGGGGAGGGCGCAGGAAGCTATGAGGAGTCAAACAAAACACCCAGACCTACTTTAAATTGACATATGCAGACTTTTCTCTCCTCTCAGACCATGGCTGGGTTCAGACAATGCTTGGGGATTTTAACTACAGTGAATGCTGGTTAAATTCCCTCTGTGCCTGGCAGAAGATCAGACACAGCAAGGGTTGTGGGCTTCCCCTTTTCTTTCCCAAGGAGGCTGCAGGAGCACCAAGATGAGCCCTGCCACTTAGCAAGCCATTTAGCACTGGCCACGGCTTGATTCCTGAAGCAGGTGCCACTGTGTTATCCGTGCTCATGAAAGTGGAGGCAGCACAGGGCCTCGTGAGAGGGAGCTTTCCATACAGACCCTCTGAAACAACACTCTGGGGAAAAACAAGTTATCAGTGGAATACCAAGCTGCAACTGGATAAAGGCATGACTGTTTTAATTGGGGTTTTATTTGCAGTTGAATTTTTATGACACTCTGTTTTATTTTACATTTTGTATTGTTAAAACGTCCCGAGACTTTGGTAAGGGACAGTCTAGAAAAGTTTTAAATAAAATAAAATAAATAGTTTTAGGGGACACCACCTCCATTTTCCCCTCTTCCAGGCAGGATCCCAGGACTTTGGTGAGGGGTGCGAGGACTCCGCAACTGCCCCCTCCCTCAGTTTTGCAATTTACCCCAAATGGATGCACCTTGGAGGGTGGCAGATCTCAAAGGAAACACCAGTGCAGGGAGCAAAGGGTCAGGCCTGCCTCCTTGCATGGGGTTTTCCAGGCATTTTGAAGCAGTTCCCTGCTTTTAGTGGGAGGAGGAGACTTTTCCAGCTGTCCCCAAGTGGGGCTTTGTCACTTTGAGAAGCCTGTGAAAGCCCCCAGGTAGAACAGCAATTTTTTCTGCCACTCTTGCCAAGGGATTCTCCTTTTTTTGTCCTGACTATAGTTTATTTTGTTATCTGGGTTCGGACAACACATTAAGTCATACTGTACTTTTTAACCCCTACTACAAGCCATGGCTATCTAAGTCACTCCAGGCTGGCTTATAAACCACACTGTGGGCAGAGTGCTGGCTTCAGACAATATATAAGCCACTCTGGGTTATAAACCACCATGGATTAACATGTTGTGTAAATCTAGCCACCATCCCACGCTGCTAGCCTTCAGGCTTGAAGACTAGTCTCTTCTTCTGCAATGATTATGCCTCCCCACACATTTCTCCAGAGTTTGTTTATGTCATTTCTATGCCTCCCCACAGCCAAAGCACACTGGGCCGGTTAGAACCACATAACAGTTAAGAGAGAACGAGCAATCACAGTCTCCTTTACTGACAAAATAACCCGAAGAGTTAAGGTAAGCAATTTCCCAGAAATTCTTAACCCACATTTGTATGCATTTGTTTAAATACTGCAATAAAATATAGACACTATCTAGCATAACCTGAGATTCATAACTTGGGAGGGGCCCAACATGAACTGCTTTTTCATTATGGCTGCATCAGTCAGTCCCTAACTGCACAGATCTTCTATCTGTGTGCATATAATTTTACATATATTAGTAACATGTGCACATATATGCCCAGCACCTTTAATGTCCATGAACAGTAAACTTTTGCTCAAGAAAGCTGATGTTTAAACAAGACAGCAGGCTTGACATGGTACGCCAAGGTTTAGAGGTACAAGAATGTTGGGCTCATGTGTTTCCCACTCTGCTCTCTTCAAGCACAACCAAAGGGAGATCGTAAATGTCTGCTTCTCTTTCCGATTACCCACAGCTGAGACTTACATCTCAGCACTACGGTGCTGCCAATGCTTGCTAAAACAAGCCAGCTCTTAAACTTCAGTTTGAAGGTGGTTTGTTTCAAGAAACCAAATAAAACCCATTTGCAGTCATGCTAAAATAGAGGCGAGTCCCTCCAAACTCCTTCTCGTGAATACCCAAGGCTCTGCTAACCTGCTTTTCTAACACTAAACTATGGTTTGATATTACACCTGATTTGGGCCTTTCATCTTAGCCTGAATGCCTAAATGGCTAGCACCAACACTGCAGAACCCCAACTAATAAGCTAGCTGTCCTACCCTGGTTTACAAAAGCAAGGTGCATTCCATGATTTATGTTCATCCTTTTTTATGAAGACAGAATGGAAGTGTGAGGAATCTATTTTGGAGGTAGGAATCTTGCGTTCCCTCAGCTCCGCTCCCCAGACTCCAACCTGTTTTCTCAGGGCTGTGCATCAAACGTGGCCACAGTGTTCACTTGGGTACCACCAGGAAGAGAGCCCATGTGAACATTACACAAGCAGCACAAGTCCCTGTTCTGCACACGTAGAGGAAGAAGATGGCTAGTTGAGCAACCAGAGTTCTGTAACCATTTGCACATTTCTTATCTCTGTGTGCTTCCTAAGTAGAAATCCAATGAACAGAACAGGGACAGATTCCGAGGAATCTTCACAGCCCTAGAAGATAGGGCTAGTTCCCCCAAAACTCCACAAGGCTGGAGTTAGTGCTGAATGATGACGCGATCTACTATTAATAGACAAACAGAAAAGCTTTTTTACTGTTCAGGACATCCATAACACGCAGCTCTTAGCGGTGAAAAGATAATCATTCCTTCTCAGCTTACCTTGCAGTTTGGTGCACTAAGCCTATTGGCAGAGCATCTCTCCAATAACATTTCAATCAGGCAATTCTCTTCTTCTTGGGAGTTATGCTGGGGAGATGCAATTCCCTTTCCTCTCTTCTCTTCTGGATCTGAAAAATGCTGCTTGAGGTTTTCATTGCTTAGCTAAGAGAAAAACAAAATACAGTTCTGAAAGGGGTGTGTGTGCATGAGTGACAGGCAGCAGGTGATTATGTTTGTCTTACCATGAAATTTTGTTTTCTTAGTGGATGGAGGGACCTCTGATGCAGGTTAATCCTCTTAAGTCACTCCAAAATGCACCACTAAATGAAACTCCTTTTAGCCCTTTTATGGGAGAGGAGTTCTCCCATAAAAACTATCCTTCGAATAGTTTTAGGGAAGCCTTCCCTAACCTGGTACCTGTTAGATGTTTTTGATTGCAGCTCCCATCATTCCCAACTGGCAAGGCCATTGGCCAAACACATCCAGAGAGGAAACAAACTGGAAAAGGCTTGTCCATGGCAGCTAAGGGGAAGTCCTTCCTTACAGAAAAAGTGACTTCCAGCCTTTGAACCACCAGGAACAGTATTAGAACGGAGTGTAGGAGATCAAGTTACAGTGAGTTGTTCCTTCTCATTAGGTGATAAAAGTATTTGAGTTTCATCTAACCTGATGGTATCAGTACTTAAAGCCATACATGGTTTAGAATCATGCTATCCAAAGGGCTTACCTACACCTGTCTAGGCCTGCCCAGGTATTCAGACTGGTGTCAGAAGCCCTACTCTCTGGCCTGCCAGGATGGCTGGGAGTAGAGGCAGGATTTTCTCAGTGGTGGCCCCACTGTCTTGGAACTCCTTCCCCAAAGAGGGACTGATAGCTGCATAGCTACTGGCTTTTTAAACTGACCTGAAGATGCATTTGTGATGTTTACAAGTCAACGGCAGCTGGAGTGGGGACAACTGAGGTGCCTCAGAGATGGTGCTGGCTCTTGAGCCTTGTAGATCAGAACAATGTGCACAACGTGATACCCTTCTGCCTTCTCCCCTCTCCGCTTTCATGGCTTCAAAAACCCAAAACCCCAAGCCTGCTGCTGCCAAAAATAAGAGAACAAGACACATACCTTTGATTCGAAGGAGTCCTCCACAAGTTCAGCGTGGCATTCCTGAAAGAGTATGCTGCGGATGTTCACCAAGTCCAGGTTTTCAAAGTACCGAAAGACATCCACGTGCAAGACGCCATGCACGACTGAAAAGACCTTCACCATGAGAGCACAGCCATGGACCAAGGAAGCAAACCTCTGGCTTGCAGCACGGCTCCACCGTTCTCCACATACAAGAGAATGTGCAGAGGGACGCAGTCTGCGCACCTTGAATTCCAGAGCCTACATAAAATGAAACTAAACTCATCAAAAAAGGCATGCATTTTCTAAAATGCCATTTGCCATTTTATTTGTTGCTTGTAAACCGTCCCGAGATACCAGCAGATGGACAGTCTATAAAAGCTTTAAATAAGTAAATAAAAATGCCACTTGGAATGGAGAAGATTTTAAAGTTCCCCTCTCCCACAACTCCGCCTTAGGTACAGCATTCCTCCTCTATTCAGCAGAATCAAACCAAAATGCTACCTGGAAGGGAAGTTCTCGAAGGTGGCTGGGAATCTCCCGCAAGTGTTCCAAAGCCACTTTCAACCTGTTGCCGTAATCTACATAGAAAACCTGGATAACAAAGCAATATCCATTTTTTAAAAGGACACTCATTCTTACAAAACATAAAGGTTAACTGTTGAAGATGGTTTTTGGTTTTAATTTCTTGCAAGCCACCTACTACCTATGAGAATGGGACAAGATTAAAAAATCTAAATAAATAAAGGCAAAAGCTGACCTATCACATAGCAACAGCCTTGGTTTGTTGAGATCCAGTTCCATGACCTACTGAAATTCACTACTGAGAATATGGTGCCTGAGTTTGCTTCCCCACTTTTTTCCTACCAATCTCCTTTCCTTCAGAATGTCTTTTAAACTGTAATCCAGGGTCAGGGACTGTCTGGTTTCTGATGCCTGTATCAGAAACCAGAAAAATCTCAGCTGAACTTCTCTTTCTCCTCCTCCCATCATCCTCCTCCTTCTCATTTATTACATATGACTACCCAACAGCCAAAGCTCTCTGAGCAGCTCACAATATAATGGGGCTGGTGATGTTATGAAGGCTGCCTGAAATAGCAGTTTTATGAGCAGGAGCTGGGCCGCATGCCACTTTCTCAGTAGAAGAAATCACTGGCAGGAAATTCTGCCATGGCACGGAAACACGCCATGCTGGCGCAGCCAATCTGACCGGCAAGTGGCTGCACGCCAGTGGCTTGCTGAACACCACAGCTGCCCCAATGGCCTCGACTCCATGCTTGGGCACGTTTCCGGATTCAGCCCTAGGCAAGCTCAGGGCTGTTGCTGTTCTGTGCTGTCAGGTCATCTCTGAGTTATGGAGGCAGCATGAATGAAACCCCTCCAAACTGTCTATGACAGCCCTGCCCAGCTCTTCTAAGTTCAAGGCTTGTGACTTCCTTTACGGGTTCAATCCATCCCCTATTTGGTCTTCCTCTTCTTCTTCTGCCTTCAAATTTCCCAAACGTGATCGTCTTCTCCAGGCAGGCTTGTCTTCTCATGAAGTAGGACAGCCTCCGTTTTGTCATGTTTCTAGGGAACATTCGCACAAGTGCTCAGACAGGGATGGGAAAGATCCCTGCCAGAACCCTTGATGGGCTGCTGATCTGGAGGAACTAATTCAGTCTAGACTGGCATTCAGTCAGGACCGGGCATGGCTGGGCACTTGCCAAGGGCCTGCACCAACAGCAGGGTCCACAGGCCCGATTCCCTGGTGCTGCCCCTCCAGCTTGTCACTGCAACCGGCTTGTCCACTTGCCTCTCACTCTGATGCAGACAACAACAGTGATGGAGAGAAGCAGCACACGCCACTGCCTACCTGCTCTCCGCCTGTCCAGCAAGCAAATGGGGACCACAGTGTGAAAGATAAGCAGAAGCAAGAGGTGACAATGGCAGCAAGAAAGAGACTCGCTGGAAAGGCCGAATCGCTGGGGGACACTCTGAACACCAGGCGTGGCACTGAATGGAGTACAACGTAGCATCATTTTAAAAAGCGGCCATGTGAAGTCTGACCTGTTCACTAGCATGGTACGTACTCTGCTCAGTTACTTAATCTTCAACCCTGTCCCATCTCCCTGCGCACTTCCCCCAACCAGTAATTTCCCCTTCCCCTACTTTAGAATTGCAGGGTTAATTGAGGCATGATGAGCCCTGCTTATGAAATTGCCTGAAATCACATCCAGGTGGTGCCGGAGGAACACTGACACGAGAAGGGGACTTGCTGCCTGGAAGCACCCAGGTGCAACAGGATTCTTCTAGCCGGGGCCGGGAAGAGGTGGTCTTGGCATAGAACTTTCTATGAGCTCAAGATTATGAGCACAATCATCTGGTTTTTCCATGCATTACAGCGCTGCATGGGCAGCAATCCATTCAGAACTCTAGTGTTGTTGAGATGTTGGATTTTACAGCCATGTTGTGAGTCAGGCATCCGGTTTACCTGCATTCAAAAGAACTTTATGAAGCGCTTAATAAGACTCAAGTGAGACCTGGGAAAATCCATGTACACTTTTTTCAGGCCTATCACCCATTAAAAATGTCTTGCTGCTTTTTAAAAACTTCCTTACTGTGAATTGTGCTCCTAACACTTATGAATTTTTTTTTAAACATACCTCAGCGCTCTCTCCAGATACATACAGAACTTGGGCTCTGTAATATCTCTCATTTTCCCAGTCATTAAATGGTGCCAAACAAACCAAATCAGGATATGGACGAACTGGCAAAGGACTCAGCTGTAAATGGTTGATTTCAGCAGAAATATTTTTCAGCAATGTCATGTTTCTTTCGTCTGTTCTGTAACCCCAAAAATGTCCAACCTCCACCACCTAATAGGGACAAAAAAGGATGTTTGTAATGTGCTGTGACATGCTGTGTGTGTGTGTGTGTGTGTGTGTGTGTGTGTG